ATCATAAAAAATAGTTGGTCGATGACCAATGCTATTAAATACCCGGTATTGACATAGTGCATCGATTCTGGGAATAGGGTTGAATTGGTGAGTCATGAACGTAGGGGAGACTTAGGCGGTCGAAATCTCTCAATTATCAAATTGAGTTGTATTCCATTATAAATATTTGTATGAGTAAAATAAGGGTTTTGATACACAAATGATTGCTACGTATCTATTTTATTAATACAAACTATATCGCAGTCCCGTTACGAGACTGTTTTTGTTATGTCCATTGTATATTAGGCTATACTTTTCGAAAAGAAAAGTTGATACATGTTACTTAGAAAATGTTTATACTGCGGTGATGATTCAAATTCAGAACTAATAATTTAATCTGTGAATCACATAAATATTATTCGCATGTACCTGTTCATATACCTAATTTCGTCTGAACCTTTAGCTAAAATTCTTGATGATTGCCTAGGTTTATTCTTAAAATAATACTTCGAGAAAAATAAAGGCTAAAGTTTGATGTCTTATCATGTCATCTTTGAGTTAAACAGTAGGTAGTAGTAACAGAACATGTTAAATATGTGTATTCTTTTGGTTTTAAAGACGGAGAAATACCTAAATATGCCTATAGCGATAAATACTTTTTCTCTATTTTACTTTTTGTAATTAACTGCACTTATGGGTAATATTTTATAATAATTCGGTGAGTATAATAATTTGATATTATGATGCTTATTTTAGTTATTTATTGTATGTGAAATAAATACAAAATAAAAATCGAAAAATGCACAATTTTAAATCATCGGGTAATTTCGAACGACTTACACTGTCAATCACTTACCCATTCAATCTCATTAGAAATTATAACGTAAATGGTTATCTAGGAATTGCACTTTTATTTTTTTGTCTTTATAATATATCTCGCACACGGCCGTCTGATCCCAAACTAGGCAGAGCCTGTTGTATGGTAACCAGACTACTGATAAACATACTTATATATTTTTAAATAGATACATATTATAGATAAATTACACCCAGACATTATCATCATCATCATCAACAGCCTATACTAGTCCACTGCTGGACATAGGCCTCTCCTTGGAAAGGAGGTTTTGGCCTACTATACCACGCTGGCCAGACGGGTTGGTATAGGGTTTGTTTCAAGTTTTCCTTCTCTTTGCAGTGCTGTTGTCCTGCTTAGTTTGCTCCCTTAGTCGGCTCTTACGACACCCACGGGATGAATTGGGGTGGTGACAATTTGTATTCTTAATCCGTCACCACGCGGACACCACTGCTGTCCGTGTATACTCAGGAAGACAGAAGGGAGAACTGTCCCATACTTCTCCTGTTCTATTGTGTAGTTCGCACTTCCGAGAGGCACTGGACACCACTGTTGGCAATAGGTATATCTAAGATGCTCACCAATAGTTCCCTAATGCTATGCGAGAGTCCAACGATATTTATACATTTATACACCCAGACACAGAACAAATGACCGTGCTCATCACACAATATTTGTCCTGGGTGGGAATCGAACTCTCTTACCTCCGGGGTTTATAAGTCAGGGTCACTAACCACTAGACCGTCGATTTTTATATGAATTATAACTCGACTTTTATATGATCTAGCTAGTATAACACTATGGTTTTAATTACTCAGTTCTCTATAATCAAGTCAATCCCGTGTGAGTTTTCTGTTTGTGGTGTTGAGTTCGGACACATTACGGGTATTTTTGGCATTCTATTAACTCGACCAATGCTATTTCCTTGTTTATAGCTACGCACATACTATTACATACTTGCACGGTAACCATTTGGTGGTGGATGTAGATATGTATTATTTCTGTGTAGTTACGTCATTGGTCCATTTAATATAGTGGTCTTATAGCAGTAATTCTTCGTAATTCTTGAACTGATTAAAACAAAGCCCCGTAGAAGGTAGTAAAAAATATATAGCCTCCGCCTCTATAAATTGATATTATAATATTAATGTTCTCGATATAAAATATACAAAAGAGAAAAATAATTTTAATTTACAAGAGTTAAAGAAATAAAAAAAATAACTGTTGTCTTTACACATATAAATGGTATTACATTGTATTGCCAAGGTATAACTGCGCCATTCGTCTTTTTTTTTATGAAATCAAAAAGGGAAATTATTCCTATTTAAAAAAAATGACACATTCCTTATATGTGACCCAATTTAACTAATATAAAAAAATCCGAAGAGTTTTTTGTTTGATTATTTGTTTCTGCAAACACACTAAGTATTCTTTAAGGAAGGTTAGAAGCGAAGCAAAGATCATAACCGTGGTTGAATTAAGAATATAATATTTCCGAATAGGCTTTACCTAAAGTATAGGGTAGTTGATTGTATCATAAATAAATAATAATGTCAAGTATTTAAATAAAATTATTCTCTATTGCTGTCGTTTTAGTAAATATACTAACTGTTTTTTTTTTATGTAGTCTTATAGTTTCATGGCCATTAGATTATTTTTACTATAGAGAATTATATAGTAAGGAACTCGTAGTTTTTAATACTACTATCTACTACGCCCTACTATATTATCATTTTTGCAACGTTGAACTTAAAATGCAGTACTTTGGTGGTCTCTTAGTAATGGTTTTGACAGTGTAATAAAGTGTAGAAATGAAACGCAATGAATCACATTATTTACCAGCAGGGATACTGAACAGAAATAATTGTAGGTAAATGAATAGTGTCCATAAACACGATACGCTGTATTGCGAGGGAAACAATCGACAAAATATCGATTAGGAAAGAGTACCACGCCCGCCAGTCTGGCACAATCTATGGCTAGTATAGCGACTCTTTTATTTGTAGACATTGTATTCACAAACACAACTGAAGGTACCTGCTTTAATATCTTGGTTTTATATTCAAATTAAAGTTCATAGAACCATATATCAATCTCATAATCTATACAAATAAATAAAATTGGAGTGTCTGTTTGTAATATTAAAATAACCGCTTTTACTAAATGCATACGTATGTTTACACGGTACATATGCCAAAATAACATTTTTTACAAGTTTTGTCTGTCTGTCTGTCTGTCTGTTTGTTCCGGGTAATCTCTGGAACGGCTGGACCGATTTCGACGGGACTTTCACTGGCAGATAGCTGATGACATAAGGAGTAACTTAGGCTACTTTTTTTAGACTAGCTTCGCCCCGCGGCTTTGCCCGTGGTTATAATAACAAACGCGGGTAACACCGCGAGTCTCAGCTAGTGTAACAATAAATCTACTCAGTATTAAGTAGATATGACTGATTGTTAAATGGGGCATGATGCCGATCCTTTGTGGACTTTTTTCTATTCGGCTTTCACATAGACAATGTGCGGAAGATGAGTATTTTGTTAATATTACGAAAACGGCAGCATCGTACGTTTAGGTAACAGCGAGTTGATAAGATTGAAATTATTTTAAAACAACGGCTGTGTCCCACTTGAATTAATTAACGATTCAAATTAAACTTACTTCATTATAGGTTCTTTATTCTAAAACCATCTGGTACCTGCGACTTCGTTCGCGTGGAATTTGGAAAGCGCTGCCTTAGTGGGTTTGCTTCCCGGACCGGGCAAATTTGAAGGGTTTTCTCAGAGGAGAAATAGCCTAAGTTACTCCTTATATAGACAGCTACCTGGTAGTAAAATATTATCAAAATCGGTCCAGCCATTTAGAAGATTACCCGGAACAAACAGACAGACAGAAAAAAAAAACTCGTTTTTAGGCATAGGTACCGTGCAAATGACCGTGTGAACATGAAAAAACCTATTATTTTGACATTACATACAGACACTTCAATTTTATTTATTTGTATAGATCAGTACATTGCAACAAGAGTCAACAAGGTTATGTGGACTTATACATTGTTGTCGGTGTTTTAGATGCGTAGATATTGACGGACGTCGACGTTAAAATTTAAATGCGAGCCTCTTTATTCTACGTGTGTTTTAAACAACATAATAATAAACGATTGCCGCATTCCAAACCGCGCTTATTTATTTAATTAAGTACAGCCTGCACTACGCAGTATCTTAATGAAATCATTAGTTTACCACATTTAGCCTGAATGATTATATAAAATTTATTTTTATTGAGAATCCAATTAGCCCCGCTAAAATGCGTTTGTAAGTATTGATGTTACATCATTGGATGTATTTAAAACTATGACAAATCGAACTACAATTTTTCAGATAATGGTACTAATTCTGTTGTTCGAAAACTCTCTAAACTAAACATCACAAGAAATTACTTTAGTCCTGTCAAGTAAGTACTTCTTTTCACAATACGAAACGTTATTTGACTGGACTAAACAAATTTTTAGTTTAGTTTGGAGAGTTTTCGAGCAACAGAATTAACACCAATCCATACTAATATTATAAGTACGAAAGTTTCAATTTGTCTGTTAACTCTTCACGCTTAAACAGCTGAACCGATTTAGATGAAATTTGGCATAGAGATAGTTTGAGTCCCGCTAAAGGACAGGCAAGTTATTATCCCAGAAATCATCCTTTAAGTGGGCGGGATCAGCGGTTATTGATTCCCCATACAAACTTCCAACCCCCTTGGGTGGAAGTTTGTATGGGGAATCAACTTCCACCCCCTTGATTGGAAGTTTGTAGAACCAATTCAGATGAAATTTGGTATCACACTATCATTGGTATCAACTATCACTACTAATTAAAGAATCAAACTATTTGCTAGTTTGATTCTTGAGAAAGGACATGGGCTACTTGTTACCGCGACAACCGACATACACTCGGGCGGAACCGCGGGCATAAGTTAGTGTGTTTATAAAGTTCGGGAAATCAACCAACATAACATATAGAATGTCATATAAGTTTTATTATTTAGTATAAATATCAGGTGTCCGGGAACTTTTGAATGAGGTACTATGATTATTATATTTCATAATACAATCACATAGGTATATTAACTTTAAAAATATACGACTAATACTACAATTCTCTTGTTACAGCGGTCTTAACTTCCAAGACCTTATCGTACGTCAAGGCGCCATCGATTCGCCTCCCAAGACCCCCTTCATCCTTGGGTTTGAATGCGCCGGAGAAATCGAGCAGGTCGGAGAGGGTGTTACCAACTTCAAAGTAAGTATGAACATACGTCATCACCTGTCTAAATTAGCTGGATTGATCATAAGCTAAACACTGACTTACTTAATTTTTATCAAGAGGTTTATAAATTCCAAATAGAAGTATGTCATCTAATTAACAATAACTGTTTTTTTTTTTGGTTGTTTTATTGTTTTCCTATTATTGTGCTCGAGCATAAGAGACAAGCATAAAATAAATTCGAATAAATTAGAAAGGACGACGATCATCGAATGGTTGAACAGATTTTCTTTAATTACAATAACATCGTTATATATTTTAGATTTCCGCACAGAAAAAAAAGAAAAGGATTGCTTTTCTTTGCCTTTCGATGTCCTTTGGAAATGTGAAAAACGTTAGTTTAGTATTCTTGTTATCATTTAGGCAGTATCATTCAAGTACCAACGAAAGTGCTATCATTTGGCGAGCAGAAACCTACTGAGTTAGTCCCACCCACCGACGGAACCACATACTTGGCTGGAAATCAAAAATTAAATCAAAATCAGTACATTAATTTAGGAGTTATGGTGTCACAAACACACAGATAGACCTTATTAATTGATAAAATCCTCTTTTTGCGTCAGTTAACAAAATAAAATGGACGTCGCCGAAGTTTTAAATTACTGTTATAAATATATTATTTTAACGACATTGAGTACGACGGTCGTAGAATAAACATGTTGTCACTTTTAATTAGTTTGTCCGGTCCATCTTAACTTTGACTTTCTCCGCGTCTCGTCTGCGTGAAATGAATACCGAGTATTCTTAAGAACTTTACTTTATATATAATCATAATTAAGGCGCATTTTATCTCGCTGAACATTTGCTGCTGCTTGCTAAAAATTCTTATTACTGGTGACTTCATCAAAAATTATTAGCTTTGGTATCACCATACCGCTACCGTACCGTACTCTTTTCATATAAAATCTAAACTATGTGACTTTTGCCTATGAATATCCAAATACGTGTTCGGTAGCCTCTTACTTAGAGTATAACAAAACATCAAAATATCTTACAAATCTAGTACATTGATGCGGAAACTACATCGATGCTTTTAGTATACGGACATGTTTATGTAAACACTTTTTATTATTGGTTTCAAATGTTACGGATGCAAGTGGTTGCAGCAATGAAGTGTAAACTGTTTTCATTACATCGTAAGCACTACTTCTTATTGTCATCATGTTCGATAAACGCCAAACACCTATTTGTATGGTTTGGATTGAACTCCTGTGCCTTTAGGGTTTTGTCATGAGTTGTATATTTACAGTATGGATAAAACGTTGGACTGTAATTCTCTATCGCTAATTAAATCGCTATCGCTGACTATCACGTTGTTACACGTGGTTATAAATACCGGCAATTATAGAGATTTAATTTGTGCTTTGTTTATAGTATGTATTACTTCGCCTGTAATTATTGTTTAAATTGTATTTCTATAGTTGTGTAAAGTCTCCAGAGGGCACCATCAAGGCGGTTCCTATGCTCGTTTGCCAACTTAAGTGTGTCCTCCCTTTACTTAAAATTGCTACCCTTTATTGAATACTCAGCCTTATATCTTCACTAACTTCAGAACTTCTTTGACAGGTTGGTGACCAAGTAGTAGCTATGCCGGAGTACAAGGCGTGGGCTGAACTTGTTTCCGTTCCAGCGCAATACGTGTACGCTCTGCCCGAGGGTATGACCGCTCTGGATGCTGTAGCGGTCACGACTAACTATGTCGTGGCTTACCTGCTGCTTTTCGAGATGGCTAACCTAACCCCCGGCAAGAGCCTGCTTGTGCACTCCGCTGGAGGTGGCGTGGTAAGTTACTGTTTTATACTTATAGCTGAAATTGGTCTGTTGGAATATTAAATTAGATCCGCATATATGTATGCGTATGGAAAAATCCTAGTTAACAGATGGATAGTCTCGTTCGTGGTTTAGACTTCATCTTTGGGGTATAGGGTTTTAGTGAGATTTATTTCCAAATGGATCCTCACTGATAATTCCAGTATTCTATCATTTCCAGTTTTCCTAGAATTGGCAAATTGAATTTTGTCATTAATTATAAAAAGAAGTAAAAAATTTAGCCTCATGTTAATCTTAACTTCAATGTGTGAACACATTTGAATCGGGGATGGCGATCGAGCAATTCATTGCAGGCAAAATGGTCTGGGGAACTTACTTATCTTCAATAATATAAAAGTGTAATTGTAATAATCAGTACATGTACTATTATTTTTTTATTTTGATTGCGTGTTCCGATAAACATTAAAATGTTCGATGTAGTAAACGCGTCAACAGTATACATGAATAATTGTTTAATACACGCAAAAGTTTCAGTAAAAGAAATTTGGTAATTTCTTAATTAAGCTGAAATCTATTAAGCCTTCGACCTTGTAATCCTAGATTACACAACACGCTTACAGTTCCAGCAGTTTTTTAAGCAAATTATGAGCATGAACAATTTTAATAAAGGAAACCTAGATGGTAAAGTTACGAAGCCGCCCACTACTTTATTATGGTGGAGAATTAGTGAGATTATTTATGGTTAGATAAGTGCGTAACATCATAATGTATGAATATGTAGGTGTAACCGTACTTGACATTTGCAAATTTTCCCTTATCAGTACATACTTTTTTCAATTTGGTCGTTTACTTTGGATGAACACGTTTACGGTTTACGTGTCAAAAAAACTACGATTTGTACTTCGATTGCCTGTTATTCTAGACTACATATCAGTTTTTTAGTAAACCTATACAACGAACAAGGATTGTCTGTGTGACGGATTATCACGAATACGGAGTGTCAGCACCCCTATTCATCCCGTGGGTGTCGTAAGAGATAAACTCTGCATGATAACAGCACTGCAAAGAGAAGGAAAACTTGAAACAAACCCTATACCAACCCAGGTCTGGCCAGCGTGGTATAGTAGGCCAAAACCTCCTTTTTAAGGAGAGTTCTATGTCCAGTAGTGGACTTAAGTTGTTTAAAAAGCAGTTGATGATGATGATACAACGATAGTTTACGCTCCTAAATCTTTTAAAACTTATTCTATTGGTACAAACTTCCATAGTACTAAAATTCTATCCTGCTATATTAAACTTGTGTTACTCTTTCATGAAAGAACTGAAATCCGGGATTTACATGAAACGTTATAGTCATGTAGGTATTTTATAATGTACAATGATATTGTGTAATGAGGATAACTGTACTTGCGTGTCAAGTAAGTCAGAAATAACCCTGCGGTCTGTGAGTTATCTTGGCATGCATTACAAACGGTTTGAGTTACACCTACTAGTTATTGTTTTTATTAAAGAGCTTTTAACTTTAAATGCACCTCCATACATCCAAATGCAGGGAGGTAGTAATTCTAGCCGTGGGAGCTGTACAATTATTGTCCGTCGGCTCACAGATATAAGATATTTTTACGAGAGTTAACTGCCTCAAACTCTCTAAACTAATAACTTTCAAATGTAAGTAGCTTTTGCTGCAGTTACGATGTTAAGGAAAAGCAATACTTTTCCTATCGTAACGTTGCATTTAGAGTTCGGCTTTAGAAGTAACTAAATGTGGTTTTAATATTGGCGTCATAGTGTGTAAAGTCTCCAGAGGGCACCATCAAGGCGGTTCCTATGCTCGTTTGCCAACTTAAGTGTGTCCTCCCTTTACTTAAAATTGCTACCCTTTATTGAATACTCAGCCTTATATCTTCACTAACTTCAGAACTTCTTTGACAGGTTGGTGACCAAGTAGTAGCTATGCCGGAGTACAAGGCGTGGGCTGAACTTGTTTCCGTTCCAGCGCAATACGTGTACGCTCTGCCCGAGGGTATGACCGCTCTGGATGCTGTAGCGGTCACGACTAACTATGTCGTGGCTTACCTGCTGCTTTTCGAGATGGCTAACCTAACCCCCGGCAAGAGCCTGCTTGTGCACTCCGCTGGAGGTGGCGTGGTAAGTTACTGTTTTATACTTATACTGCCGCCATAATGGAAAAAGACGCATCTACATAAATGACAAACCGGAGAAAAAAAATAGTTTCCATTTTATAAATTGTAAAATTCGCTGTCTCCAGGAAAATAAAAAAACCATTAATATTTTTATGCTAGTGGATGCCTGGCAGGTTGATCTCTATAATAATGATTGAAAATTGAACAAAAATAATTAAATTCATTTAAATAATCCACATTTTACTTTTCATTGTAGTACAAAAAATGCAAAGAAATACTTTATACTACAAAGAAAAGACGTTTCTGGCTAGAAACGTTTTTTTTACGTAGTAATTGATCGTACGTCTTTCTTACTAAGTAATATAACGCGTTACCAGATAAAGAAACCTAAAATAAAGGAACGTTTCTAGCCACTTACTGCGTTTCAACTTAGTGAAATAAAAAAATTATCAGTATTAGAAATACCGATGCGCCCTTGCACCCTTTTAATGCTGATTAAATAATTGACATGTTTACCACTTATACTATAATAAAATACACAATTAGTTAAATCAATTTTTTATTGTAAATAAAATATTCATATTAATATAAAATTATGATTTCTTCACAAATAAAAAATTCTATCAAATTTTTAAATCATTAATAAAAATACTAATCACAACAAATGTTAAATCTCTTTCAGAAACAAAAAAAAAATTAAAACATAAAAAGTAGTAATCACAGAATGAACAAATTTTTCATAACTTTATAAAAACTAAACAAAATTCTCTTTAATATCATTAGGAACATTATCACAGCCTTAGGAGGTATTTTTACCTATAAATCAGTCTTCATAAAATTTTGTAAGATCGATACTATTTTTATCAGTAGGTAAATTATACCAAAATAACTTTCTATTGTCTGGCATTAAAGGGGTCAGCTTTTGTGTAATCGCTGACTTGCGCTCTTGAGTAACTCCTCTACACTGTTTATTTGGTTTTGGCGACGGTATACCAGATTTTATATTTTTTACTCTTAAAAAGTCGAGTGAGTATTCTTGCTCTTTGTCAAAATCAGTTTTGTAACGAATAATGTGTGTGCCTCTGAAGAATGTTACTTCGCAAATGTCACTTAGATAGGCTCGGGGTGATGAATTTTGCAGTTTGTATGTTGTAGAACAATCTTCGAACTGATAAAAATTTGCCACATTCATAACTTTAACAGTGATATTGGTTCTGGTGTTCGATACTGTTTGGTAAAAATCTTCAAAATCATAAATATGTTTCTTTTTTTCATAGATACTCTACCTGGTGATGAAATTCGTCTGCAGCCATGTATGTGTGGCCTACCTCTAAATATTTGAGCGTTATTGTTTCAAAATTGACTTCGACTGAGTTGACGAGATGAAGTAAATAGGAATATAAAGTCCAGTTTTTGTTCTGAGTTCTGAGTTCTGCACAATTGTCCAACCAAATAACAATATGTTTTAAGTCTCTATTTGCATATAAAAAAGCTCTGAAACAGCTGGCGATGTCACCCATTTTGCGGCCGGAAATTGCTTCATGCCATATCGCAGCAAATGTTTTAAATCTAGTGTTTTGGTTTATTACCTATTGGAACAAAACTTTCATTGAACACTATTATTCTTGGGCAAAACATAACAATTTTAAATTCTTCAATTCGTGGAAGCATAATGACTTTCTCCAAATCCGCAGCAAAATAGTTGCCTATTTGTCTGAATTAATATAAGTCTGATTTTGTTTTTCGACGTCAGATTTATATGCTTGCCTGGCTGTTGTATATTTGTTCCGGTGTCTTTCATAACCTCGGCACTCTTGACAATTTCTATGTCTTATGTCTTTAAATTCCGGGTTGTGAATAAAATATTTTTCACAAACTTCACACTCTTCATGTCCAAGTTTTGAAAAGCTTATATTTAACTTTTTCAATTGTTTTCTATAGTAGTCATAAGACACATGTTCGCCATCAGACGAATGCTGTCTGCAAAAGTCTTGATACATGCTAGCCACTGTTAGGTCAGACGGAAGATATTTTCTATTTGAGGCGTGCTCGCGGCGGTAATGGGATATGGAAGGGTTGAATGAGTTTATGTGTTCTAAGACTTTGGTGTTGTCGAACTTTTTCGGATTAGGATTGGTTCCTCGTTTATCTAAAATAACTGGGGTCTCATGTATCAGGGTGTTTAAGGCGTTCCGTACAGACTTATCGTTTTTTTCTATTGTAACCTAATGTTTCTAGAAAAAAATCTTTACAGACATTGATTTTAGTCCCCGTTTCATTTAGCAGAAAATACGAGATACTTACATTCCTAGGCAATTTTCGATTATCTGTAACAGTTTTTCTCTTAGGCGTTTCTTTAGACGTGTTGTGTATTATAAAATATTTTTGTTCTTTCCAAGTCAAGTTTCTGTAGCAATAATTATTTTTTTTCTTTTTATAAGCAAAGTAAAGCGTCTTTTCATTCTATGATCGAATAGTTATTTTATAAATTATTAAGACGCTTCTACTAACATGCGTCTTTTCAACTTAATACACGTCATAAATGTCTTTCTTATTTAGTAGATTTTGCATTATCAAGTAGAAGTGCCTTATTTATTAGTGATGTTTTTAGGGTTCTATTTACTTTTTGCAAAAATAAAAAATACTGGTAGGTGCGTCTTTTTTTTCTGATTCCGAATATATAAATAGTGAGATTTTGAAAAAAATGTTAGAAGCGTCTTTTTTTCTTATGACGGCAGTATAGCTGAAATTGGTCTGTTGGAATATTAAATTAGATCCGCATATATGTATGCGTATGGAAAAATCCTAGTTAACAGATGGATAGTCTCGTTCGTGGTTTAGACTTCATCTTTGGGGTATAGGGTTTTAGTGAGATTTATTTCCAAATGGATCCTCACTGATAATTCCAGTATTCTATCATTTCCAGTTTTCCTAGAATTGGCAAATTGAATTTTGTCATTAATTATAAAAAGAAGTAAAAAATTTAGCCTCATGTTAATCTTAACTTCAATGTGTGAACACATTTGAATCGGGGATGGCGATCGAGCAATTCATTGCAGGCAAAATGGTCTGGGGAACTTACTTATCTTCAATAATATAAAAGTGTAATTGTAATAATCAGTACATGTACTATTATTTTTTTATTTTGATTGCGTGTTCCGATAAACATTAAAATGTTCGATGTAGTAAACGCGTCAACAGTATACATGAATAATTGTTTAATACACGCAAAAGTTTCAGTAAAAGAAATTTGGTAATTTCTTAATTAAGCTGAAATCTATTAAGCCTTCGACCTTGTAATCCTAGATTACACAACACGCTTACAGTTCCAGCAGTTTTTTAAGCAAATTATGAGCATGAACAATTTTAATAAAGGAAACCTAGATGGTAAAGTTACGAAGCCGCCCACTACTTTATTATGGTGGAGAATTAGTGAGATTATTTATGGTTAGATAAGTGCGTAACATCATAATGTATGAATATGTAGGTGTAACCGTACTTGACATTTGCAAATTTTCCCTTATCAGTACATACTTTTTTCAATTTGGTCGTTTACTTTGGATGAACACGTTTACGGTTTACGTGTCAAAAAAACTACGATTTGTACTTCGATTGCCTGTTATTCTAGACTACATATCAGTTTTTTAGTAAACCTATACAACGAACAAGGATTGTCTGTGTGACGGATTATCACGAATACGGAGTGTCAGCACCCCTATTCATCCCGTGGGTGTCGTAAGAGATAAACTCTGCATGATAACAGCACTGCAAAGAGAAGGAAAACTTGAAACAAACCCTATACCAACCCAGGTCTGGCCAGCGTGGTATAGTAGGCCAAAACCTCCTTTTTAAGGAGAGTTCTATGTCCAGTAGTGGACTTAAGTTGTTTAAAAAGCAGTTGATGATGATGATACAACGATAGTTTACGCTCCTAAATCTTTTAAAACTTATTCTATTGGTACAAACTTCCATAGTACTAAAATTCTATCCTGCTATATTAAACTTGTGTTACTCTTTCATGAAAGAACTGAAATCCGGGATTTACATGAAACGTTATAGTCATGTAGGTATTTTATAATGTACAATGATATTGTGTAATGAGGATAACTGTACTTGCGTGTCAAGTAAGTCAGAAATAACCCTGCGGTCTGTGAGTTATCTTGGCATGCATTACAAACGGTTTGAGTTACACCTACTAGTTATTGTTTTTATTAAAGAGCTTTTAACTTTAAATGCACCTCCATACATCCAAATGCAGGGAGGTAGTAATTCTAGCCGTGGGAGCTGTACAATTATTGTCCGTCGGCTCACAGATATAAGATATTTTTACGAGAGTTAACTGCCTCAAACTCTCTAAACTAATAACTTTCAAATGTAAGTAGCTTTTGCTGCAGTTACGATGTTAAGGAAAAGCAATACTTTTCCTATCGTAACGTTGCATTTAGAGTTCGGCTTTAGAAGTAACTAAATGTGGTTTTAATATTGGCCTGTTTCTAATTGTAATAATGTGTTATTATAGACATTTAAACTTTATATTTTTTACATATATTATCCTGTATGATACCTCACGCAATGGCGTATCGCTGTAATTAGGTAATGATGTGAAGTGACGTGTCAGTGACAGGTACATTTAAGTTCGAATGCTTCGAATTGTAGGTGGAGTGACAGCGCTAATCACTTACCATAATTAGGGATGCCTAAATACTATAGGTAGGTACATGTAGGAATGTAGAACGGTTAATAAGTAAGTAAAAAAAAAATAAAAAATTGCCAAATATGGAGTTTTAAATTCTGGGACATTCTAAATGAAACAACATGTATTTTCTAATTTTAAATATAAAATTTATCTACCTCGCAACGTTTAGACACCTAATGAAATTCTTTGTAAAAGATAATTTCTAGTTTTTTTCATTTCATGAATAAACGAATTTTTGTCTGTCACCACAAGCACTATAATTCTTTGTCTGTTATAGGGCCAAGCAGTGGCCCAGCTGGCGAAGACCGTTGAGAACGTGACGGTGTTCGGCGTTTGTTCAAAGAGCAAGCATGAAGCCCTCAAAGCGAACAACAACAACATTGATCACCTTCTTGAGAGGGGCAGCGATTATACCAGCGAAGTCCGAAAGTAAGTGCCGCAAGATAATTACTAATTAATGATACTCAGGTTCAGAGACATAGTATAAGTGCTGTAAATCCTTATGGTGTTTCGATTCTGATCGTTATATTTTGCCACCAAGACAGTTCATCACTTACATGGCAGCTTAAAAAATAAATTATTTTATATTTATTTTGTGTTCTTAGTATCTAGAGAATAAAATCTAATTTATACTTCTATTTATTAAATTCTAGGAATTGACGTACAAATTACTTGAGCCAGTCGTTTTTATTTTATCTTCTACATGAAACTAGTTGACTAATGCCAGATTCTTTAAACGTCAGATGCTTGTCAAATGAGTTAAAAAACTTAAAAAAATATCACTTAATTTAAATGTACGAAAGAATCCGCGACATACCTTTAACAGGAAGAAATGAATCTACGCAACAATTTAAAGAATCCTAAAGCGAAGGGATGGAGCCGTATCTTGATATCACTGAGCTAAAAATATCCGCCCGTTCAGCGGCCCTTCATTACTAACAATATACCTTTGTTTACGTTACTGCGTAAAATGCTTGGAATGTGAGAACTTTTACCAGTACCAAATAATTCCTGATAAGCACAAAACATATTCATACAACCTACGTACATATACTATTTCGTATACTATTACAAATTAAATAATATATTCGTTGAAGGTATTAATATTGTATTGAAAATATATCGTTGACAAACAGAGGAACTAAGCGGTGTCCTTTGCCTATGATTTTTTTTTTTGAATAAGTTTTTTACCCATCTGCCTTTTTAATTTGATTGTTTGGATTTTCATGTGCTCATAAAATTATGTAATGAAGATAGACAGCAATTTATTTGCAAAATAAGCCCTTGAAGTAATAGTACTAGCATAGCACATTATAACTCAATGAAATAACGAATAAGCCGTCTAACTCTATTGATAATTACATTCAGTAAATATAACAAAGGAGTATGTTAGATTTTTTACATTGCCAATTTATGGGTAATAATATACAAACGCGTGTAAAATATTTGTAGTAAATTGAAGTGCACCAATATAAGCGAGCATAGGATCTTGATCTTTATAAAGTTAAACCTCATAATGGTTTCTCTTACTTTCTGGACCTCTTAATTTCTGGACAAACAAACTATAGGTATTGTCCTCAATCCTGTACTTTGTTAATTGGTAGTTATTACAATTACATGTTTCAAGGCGAGTTCTCTTCGTGTGATACGTATACACGTCCATGTTATAAAAACCTCTCCCACCCCACTCGTAGCTTTTATTAATCGTTAGAAGTGGATAACGTGACAAATGAAGCTGGGCTCGCATTAAGTTGGTCTCGCAGTACGATAATTGTTCGTTTTATAACCCGCTCCTTAGGGCAGCTGGCTCGTAACAAGCCCGTCATTTAATTCTCGTAAATAGACAAAGATATTTTTATATTTGTTGAGCACTCCGCAGTATAAACAAACCGACCGTACCAGTTTTACATAAATAAATACTGTCAGTTATCTAATATTGTTTAAAATACAAGAAACAGAGAAGTATGTTCATCAAAACCGTAGTCAATATTTTAAGTACATTACCAGGTTTTAATATACAATTATTTATATACTTATAAGTGATTCTACTTAAAAGTATAGAATTTTTAAAAATAGATCACCATTTTTCTTCATTCGGCTTTCCAAATGACTCTTAGAGAGGTTGATATTACATTTTTTCACTTTTACATTTTCACCATCACATTTTCCATTTAGTAATGTAGTTTGGATTTGGATAAAATTGTCAGATTAGTAGTGAGTTTGTAGTGAAACCAACCAGAACGCGAATAAAATTATTTTCTGAAAAAAAAATACAACGAAAGAAAGCAACAACTTGCAATTTTCGCACTATAACTCTTACACTTAAGTAAACACTTTAATATCTTTGAGTTGACGACATACAAAAATGTATCATTAGGTAAATTATTATTAATTACCGGCTTACTTTAAAGCATACTCTATCAAATAAAAATGTTAGTACTGAAATCGGACTACTCTGTAAAAAGTTAAAGCGTGGTCATAAAATATACCCAATTAAAAAAACACCTACTGACCAGAGAACCGCTTCCGGTTTTTTGCCTTAATGTATGCATAACTACTTATAGGTTTTTTGAAGTAAAACTTTTTTAGAATCGTTGTGATTTGAAACTCAATGAAACGAAAATGGGTCACGATTATAGATGCAAAACGACCGATTTAAAACGTTTTAAATAAAAAAAAACCGTTTTAAACCCATCAAAAATCGTTGTAAACAGGTGAAAACTCGGCTACAAAAATAAAAGAACTGTGTTTTACACTTATGTTTTGTTTTAATTAGTTTATAGAAAATCAATAGAAAGTACCTACCTACTACACGAAAACTTAAGTATTTAGGTATTGGTAGATAGGTACCTATACTTATTTATTATATTATACACACACTAGATTAGAAGACATCAATAACACAATGCCGTCCGTGTTACTTAGTATTTATTAACAATAGGCACCAAGAAGGTACCCCTTTAATCCAGGAGAAAATCCTTTTCTGCACCCCTGAGTTACGATATTTAGGATGGTTGTAAATATTATTTTCGCTATGTTTTAATCATGTACTCAAAATTGTTCTCTTGACCAGGGTCACTCCCGACGGAGTGGATATCGTGCTGGACTGCCTTTGCGGTGAAGAATGTAACCGCGGCTATTCGCTTCTAAAGCCCATGGGTCGATACATACTTTATGGTAAGTATATCATCAGATACCGACCGGAGAGCTTTTGCTTCGAATAACTAATCAAAAGCTTTTCAATGTTTTTTTCAAGATTTGGTATTGAATTTTTGACAGCTGCACATTTCGATGTATTAGTTATAATATATAGCCTTTTAAAAGGGAAGAAACGAACCCCCTATTCCTGAGATTTGGAATCTAAATAGAATCTTCTAACATGTGAAATGATTATCCCCGAACAACAGGAAAACTTGAGTCAAAAAGAGAATTTCAATCTGTCGTAGAACTTAATCACAAAGATTATTATCAATTGTTTAATAAATTGGGTCCCAGTAAAAGGTAGATGTGTCCAAAAGTATACTTTAAACTTTTAAAATAGTTTTTGCTCATTAAGTTTTTTAAGCATGAACAAGTGTAATAAAACAATGGTGCTTTATCACAGGATCATCGAATATCGTGACCGGCGAGACCAAGAGTTTCTTTAGTGCTGCGCGTGCCGTGAGTACATTATATTCGTTATCTGATTGAGCTAGTGCATGCTAACCCTTCAACTATTATAACTTACAAATTAAGTAACTAATAGAAATAATTATTTACAGTCGAATACATCACTAGGTTAGTCAAGCAAGTCATAAGAAAAATATGTTACATTTATTTGTGGTAATTAACAATGCAGAGCGTACTCCTTTCTAAAAGACCGGCAACGCGTTTGTGACTCCTGAGTTGCAGACGTTCATAGGCGTCGATGGTCACTTTCCATCAGTTGACCCGTCTGCTCGTCTGCCCTCTCTAACATATAAAAAAGAAACAAACAAATAATAAACGATTTTCTATTGGAACTAATTTGCCTTTTTCTGTAGATTACCTGTTTCTGTGGATTCTGTAGGTCCGCTAATAATCATATTTTTCATTACTAAAAATTATTATGGAAAGTTAGAGAGCATACATAAATTGGCATGTTTCTAATATTTTTAAACATTAGTCGTAAATATCACACGCCTTATGGCTATTACGAGCGTACAGAAAACGCTTAAGATAGCTAAACGTTTTTATGAATATAAGTAATTTTCTCAGCGCGTTTATTACCATCATCGTATGATATGTACCTAGAAAATATGCGTTACTCGTGTATAGGTTGTAGGAAATCTTAGGGACAACGCAAAGGAAACCTTAGGGTCATCGCAGACTACATGTATTTTTTTTTAACTTTTATTCAGTCTGTGTTATAAATTAGAATTACATCAAGACATCAAAATATATGTCATATAAAATTTGCATATATATTTATGAACTACACTATGCACTGAAAATAATGAACAAGGGATTGCGCTCAATATTTAGAGGCTTTGTCTATAGCAATATTATTGATATTATGTAATTACATATTTATGATGTCACGGAGTGTTTTCATAAGGCAAAGCTGTTAAGAATTTTATGAAACAACCTATATATGCCTATATATTTTGATTCATGAACATGGTCAGATATTAATACATGATCATGTATCGATCAGAAATCGTCTGTACCCAAATAGCAGTTTTGTGAAAACGGAGGGCCTTAGAATTAGCTTTGATTAGATTTAGTATCGTCGTACATAGTTTTAAGTGCAGGTCCAATATTACTTTCCAGCTTCCTTTAAAGGATTGTGAAGGGCTCCTCTAGCAGGCCCTATTCCGTCAGCTATTTCTTCAGTGACACTATCAGGGCCATACTGCAGTTATATCCTATTAAATTTTGACAAGGTCTTAAGAGCAGAAGCACACACCTACTTTACAAACTGTAGTATTATCGCAGAGAAATTAGCCGGAACTTCTGCATGTGCTTTGTCTCTCAAACTTTAAAGCTGTTAGAAAGTACATTACATAATTTTCTTTAATGTATAAATGTTTGTTCCGCAGTGGTGGCAAGTAGATAAGGTGTCCCCCATCAAGTTGTTCGATGAGAACAAGAGCCTTGCGGGGTTGAACCTCCGCCACCTGCTGTTCCAGAATGGACGCGCCGACTACGTACGCCGCGCTGTAGATCGCGTGTTCACTCTGTGGGGTGAGGGCAAAGTCAAGCCTCTCGTTGATTCCACCTGGGCTCTCGAAGACGTACGTATAATAATTATATAGCCAAAATAATTTCGTGTAGGACTAGCCTAATAAATAACGACATTTTTTCTAATTTCCTCAGTTCTGTTTTTCTGAGAAGTTTTTTAAATTTTGGACAACTGACCTGAAATTTGTATCCAGTCATTGGTACGATATTTGGAAATTGACTACGGTGATCTTAACCAAGCTCCCCAATAAATTTAAACATAGTTGATAGAATGCTGAATTTCTTAATTAAATTTAATACTTAAGAAGTACTGAATATTAGATGTGAAACAAGTAAAATACATCAACATTGTTTAAAACGAATAGTTTAAACAACAAATTTCTCAACCTTCTTAAAGGTATGTTTCGGTTTTTTTTATTAGGATGCCAGCTCTTGCGCAGCTTCTCTTGTTACATTATAGATTTTATCAACGAATTTAGATAGGTACTCTTCGGGAATTGTTTTTTTGTCGGATGAATGATACTGCATATTCTTTTCTGTCAACGGGAATACGATTTCAGGCAAAGGTGAAAAAGAGTAACAACCAAAGAAACTCAATCGCTCATTTATAGGCATAATATGAGTTAGAATGTTTATGTCGAAGGTTAGACATAATAATCTTAACTGTATTAATAACTTGATAATTTGTGTCTAAAAATAATTTTATTTAATTAATGTGAAAAAAATACATTTTGTAGGTCGGTGAGGCGATGCAGAAGATGCACGACCGCAAGAACATCGGTAAACTTGTGCTAGACCCATCACTTGAGCCCAAGCCGAAACCCGCCACCCCAGCCAAGGGCAAAGCCGGTAAGGAGAAGAAGCCATCCAAAGAGAGCTCAGAGGAGAAGAAAGATAAAGAGGCTAAAGAAGAAGAGAAGAAACCAGCAGAGAACGGTGAGAAGAATGATGAAAAGAACGGTGAAGAGCCGGTTACTAATGGTAACAGTGACGAAGGTCAGTCTCGAACGTTTGTGACCAGGCATGCATAGATGCGTACATGCTTCAATACGTATACGTGCATACGTACGTAATATTATTTATTATAAAACAACTGGGTGAAATAATCAGCGCTTGGCTCTTTATTGTATTTACTAGAGTATTTTATTCCTACGACAATAAACTATTTTTTCAGTAGAAAACATTACAGGTACATACTATGCTAATGCTTTATTTATAAAATAGTTTTAGAAGGTATATCTTTATAGGTCTTGATAGAGGATTGAAATGCTGAAAATTTACTTATTACCGAAGTAGCAGACATAGGTGACTGCATAATTTTTTAAGTTTTTGACAGAATAATACATTTGAATGGACTGCAAATCCTTTACTTACAAATCCTTTACTTTCCTTTACTTTAAAAAATAGATCAACTTACCATTCCAGAATCTATGACTCATATTGGTTCTCTAGTCCACTGACTATTAAAATACTTTTCAAATTATTTTTAAACTATAATGAACTTGTTTTTATAATAGATCATCATCATCAAGCATTTCAGTTCCTAGATTTATTTGTACACTATAAACTTATGTTATACGCTGAACTTAGTAGTACTTAGTTATAGTTGCCTGCTGTTGGCAGTTTCACCCATTTTATTATTTTTGCTTATTTTAATTAACTACGCACGCATTTATCGGCTAAACGCATTCATAAACAAGGGCGCTTCTGGTGCCATATTGGATTTAGAGAAGTATTTGTATTTATGCAGCCTTTAGACTTGCTTATTAGTGGTTGTTTCAATTATACGCTTGCATTACTCGCATAACATAGTTTTTATATTTTGTATACGTACTAGTTACCTACTTTCATAGAATTTAACATACAAAATTGAGAAAATATGTTAGTAAAATATGCTACTGACATAATTACTACGTATATTTTATTTTACAACTTAAGGGTAAGCAAAATAGATTATAATTTTTTTAAAGTAGTTATCATCATGCGCACATAATTGTAACATCAAACGTCTAAGGGCTGTTACATTTTAAGGTAAAAATACCTACGTTTAGCCAGCTTGGTCATAAAAGTCGGGTCTGAGGTCGGCAAACTGTTGTGAGTACTGGATAAACGCCATTTTTCGATAATTGCAAACGGTTCACTTAGAAATTATTAACATGAATTTGCAATTGGAATGTTGATATTCTTTTAATATCGTTACTGTAAAACATATTTTATATGTCAATGGCTTATAAAATGTTATGAAATAACTATTTTAAAAATTTGACTGCACGGATGACGGCGTAGTGGCTTAACACACCTCGCCGCTTTCTACGGGGTTCGATCCCCACACGGGACAATAATTTTCGTGAGGCACAAATTGTTGTTCTGAGTTTGGGTGTTCTTTGTGTCCGTTCAGGTATGTTTGTGGTCTTAAAAAAAAAAAAGTTTTATTTTTGCTGACAATTAAATTAAAATGTTACAAGCCTTTTTTGATATGCAGTATAATAACAAAAATTCTATGGATTTCAGAGTCAAAGGAAGAGAAGAAGGAGAAAGAATCTAGCTGAATTATTTCCCGCGAGGACTGAACCAGATAAACCACCGCCAATTGATTATTTTATAGTTGAAGCTTGTTTTACTGACGTGTCGTCGCTACGCTTGTCGGCACCGGCGCCATTTCTCTGTGTTGCCTCCTCTAAATATTATGTTTACATCAATATTAGTCGATTAGCCCGATGCCGTTCGGTCACTTCTCATATTTATAAACTTTTCGATGTTCGTTCTTATATGTACAACTAGACCGCACGGCCTCGCACAAGTTTAAGTTAAGTTTTAATTGTTCGACTATCATCACATTCTTCTAGTTTTATCGGATTATAAAATTAATTGTTAAAGTATACAACAGCGAAATGACAATGAATTTTTATGTTTTAATCAATTATTTTATACTCTTTAATTTGGCCTAAGTTAAGAAACATCACGGTGAATACATATGTTTTTTTTTATAGTTTAATGTTTAAGGACTTTATTTTTAAGATGAGATATTTTAATCTGCAGTTATTTTGAATGGCTATTCTATATCTAAGGTGCAGAGATGCTTAATCTTTATGTATGTTAAGCTTTAATATTTTATTAGTAAATGTTTAAAAATTTTGGCCCCACGAGACCCGCACCCCCGCCCCGGGCCCATTGATCAACAGTGGTCAACATAAATGATGTACTTCTCGCTACATATTCATGTTTATGTGAACAATCGAATGAGTAACCTTCGTGTGATATTTTGTGGTAGGTATGCTAGATGTTTTGCGGTATTTTATGCTGCCTTTAAGTGACATTATTTTTATTACTTTGAGCTTAAAAAATCGATTACTTTATATTTTTTATACTTAAACGTTTTGTAAATTATTTTCTAATTAAGAGATTTCACATAGTTTATTTCAACGCACCAGTCATTGTATAGGAACGGTCGTGTAGGCTCCCGACTGAGTCTTCACTTCAGCACCTAACAGGGGGAGCTTATAGTAATGAAATTATCAAGTATTATATGGCTACATCATAACTATGGAACAATGTAATCGATTATACCTCGATGTAAGTAATATTTTTGTATTCTAAATAACCGTTTATAATGTGGTCTCATGTCATGTAATGAAGCTTTTTTATGTATCTTTACACAATTATCACATATCTAATCAAACATACACTTCACACGATGTATATTAGAATTAATATTTTGATACCGATATTCACTGCATTTCTTTTTATATAACTAGCATATTGTATTGGTCTTCGATGTTTCATAAGGTTATAAGAAATGTTTAACACCATATAATGTACAGTATGGTTATAGGAATATGTACCCAGTACTAAGTAAATATCTTTATCTCTAATACACATATCATGCGGATATAAAATGTAACTGTCAGAGTCTGACCCGTAGTCCGGCACTAGACGGAGTAAAAAATCAAATTTCCCATAGACACTGCTCAAAAGACATCGCGCTCAGATCAACGTGTGATCAATCACCGCCGACTTTTGTCTCACAGACTAATTTTTTATAGAACTTTAACCTTTTTGAACATTTTTTGCAAAAATAATGGACTGTCTGAGCGCCGTGTTGAATTCGACCGAAAGGATTGCTTCTAGAACCCGATCCTTAGTACCGTACCCGTAACTACTGACTGCCGCAGGTTGTGAGGGAAAGGAAAACATCAGACTGTTTGCACTCGATCCAGTCGATATAGGTAGATTTTGTATTACTGTAGCACTCGAGTGGCACAACTTCTATTGACGCTGCTTTGTTTAACGTACGGTGGCTTGGTGCTAGTTTCGTAACACGGATACAACTCGCTTCAGTGTCTCGGACCAATATCTTAAAGCTATTTAGTCTTCTTACAATTAAATGTTGTTCGCTTTGTGTGTCAAATATGTGCGAATTTCTTGTAATGTAAACATATAATTAATTAAATCTTGTGTATATCGACCTGTATAATGGTTTAGATATCTCTGAATTTTCTGCTATAAGAATATTTGATGAAATTCAATAGTAATTAAAGAGCTGGGGTGACTGCGCCGTTTGAGATTGTGTCCAAATTGTTGTAGGTTAGTGTCGAATTTGATGCCAATATTTATTATCTAGAGGAATGGTTCGTTGAGTAGGTAAACTCGCGCGGTCACGCCAGCGGGCTCATTACATACTGGGTCGTTATTGTATTACACATTTATTTTTATAAGGGCGGGCCAGTGTGATATCTATACTATGAAATAAATAAATAAATATGTATGATCTGTAAAAATGCTTACTATAAGCCTTTTATTTCCTAACCTGACGTACATTGACATTTCGAGAAGTATTTCGATATGGAACTCGTGCGCCTCTGATGGATGGGGGTGAGATCTGTTATTTGTTGATTTAGCGGCCAAGGTTTGCCGGGGTATCGGAACACTAAACTTAGTATAAAGACTAGGTCTCTTGCAATAGACCCATTTAGGACAACATACCATGAGATTTTAGACGTCGCAGTAAAGTAGTATGTAAATTCAGACATACTACCTTCACTGCTGGCTTTGTAGAGTGCTAATGTGTTTATACCCCTACTTAAAGCTGAAAATACAGAATTATTAACAAGTTTTTCAGTTGAATACATAGCAAAAAACATGTTTTACTTTTAATTTTAAGGAGCTTAGGAGCCCGGAGTTCCTAAAAAATTAAAGTAACGAAGCGTTGCGCCCGTCACTCGTACTTGTCGGCCGTGCTTAAAGTTACACAGTAAAAACCACCTACAGAACATTATTTCAAAGATATTGCCACGTAAATACGTATCGGGTAACGTGAATACTGCACTGCAGCGGTGACGGGCGCAACTCAATTTTACTCCTAGCGATCGACTGCTGGTACAGACTTGCCCAGAAAAGACCATAAGTCAGTCGGAAGGAAAGAGTCCCGTGCTGCCAGCCTGCCCACTAGACGATGACCGGTTGGACCGCCTCCACGGCGCCCAAGGCAGTACGTGGAGCCTCCAGCAAGAACGACTAACAAATCATCGTGGCTCGGCAAGCGGCCCATAGCCACTTATTTCCGCCTCTAAATCCCATGCCAGCACCCTCTGAGAGTTAGCACCTTCAGAGCGCACCTTATTCTGGGCGATCAGAGCCTTCGCCAAAACCGTTGCATCGTAAAGTGAGGTTAACTGGACAACCCTGATCGATTGCCACAACTTATAGAGTAATCTCCACTACACCTGCAGTTGTAGCAACTGCATTTTTGTGTACTAGGCACGTGCCTACTTTGCCTTAGGGTTAATCCACGAGTATTTCACACACACATTCCATTGAAATTAGGTAGGTAATTAATCGTTACAGGACTATTTATTGTATTAATGCTAAAGCTGTGTGCAAAGGCGCAGGAGTTTTATAATATCACTTTGCTAGTTGGGATGACTGAACGATAACAGAAGGTTTGACGACTAAAAGAATAGTATACAGAGTATTGCTTTATTACCTCATTTCTAGTCTAAATAAATTCCATAAACAACAACACTGGCAAATATGTGAGGGTTTTCATAATTATAGGAAGCAAAGGAATCTCGTTCATGATCCCATAGGAACGTGTGAAATAGAACGAAGCTCTGTTGGCGGCGTTGGCCGATACTTACGCACGTAATAATTCTGCATCTGAAAAAAAAACAGAATTGGCCTAATGTGTTTATGACAACTAAGTTGGTAGACAAGTACATAAACGTACCTGCCAGTTCAAAATAGTGTTATTTAATGTGGGTAGAGCAGATGGGTAAGGTGTACTTATGTACTTTCATGTCGCTCCAACACAAAGGGAGGATCCCTTTGTGTTGGATCAGGCGAGTCGCCTCCGACCAGGCGAGGTGATCATGCCTGGCGGGCTGCGGCCCCTACGGTTGACCTTAGGAAGTTGTATATACGAGTATTTTAATCGGATTCGCACGAATTACTCGATTCGCACTCCTATTAGAATATATACAACTTTGATGGATGGCGCTGTAGTATAATTTTGCTTCACAGTATTTAGTGGAAGTCGCCATAAACTATAGTCCTAGATTCATTATAATAATACAAGGAATTCTTATGTAATCCTATTTATAGGAGGCCTTTCAGAAGCAAATGAGATGAGAAACCCAACAAAGGCGGTAGTTACCTACTTACCATCAGTAGTTGACCCATCGGCTCGTTTGCCCCTTTCCCGACTCCGCGACACCCCTTTACCATAAAAAAAACTCAATTGCATCGTAAAATATCTAGGTAGTAGTATGTTTACATGCCTTATAATAAAATATACGGTACCTGTCGTAATTTAACTCTTTGACAGCATTCCGTATCGTTTCTGCTAAGTTTAAACATAGTTCTGGTATTACTTTCTCGCTGTATTCAATCTCCGCTAGCTCATCGTCTACTATACGTTTTAACACCTTTTCTACTTTGTCAGGATCAAATCGTTTTCGTGCTTTCAGCTGATAAGTTGGTTGATATGTTCGGACCTGTTTAGAGAATTTCCTTTCCATCGTATTGTTTAATCGATACTGAATACCTACGTCGTTGCCTAACTTAAGTTTACCTCCCAAAAAAATGAGACGTTACCAAGGACCTTCGTATTATTCATAGATAGTCTTGCGACTCACAAAACATCTACAAAAATCTTTCTCAAAAGTTAGAATACAATTAAAACAGAGTGAAATGTAAATCTTATAAATAAATTCAACAATAAAATGAAGGTTATACCGAATCATGTTTAAAAATTCGTTTTATAAGCAACGAGAATAATATGAACTTCAAAGTTGTAAGCATGATTATAAACCATATAATGCCATCAGTTTTAATACACATAACATAGGAATCAGGTGTGACATTGTGTGACAACGGGGCGGACAGCTTGACGGGACCCGTCTTGGGTGAGAAAGGTCAATGCCTGTCGGAGGTGGCAGAAGAATGCTATTGCGATTCTTGCTGCCCCGGCACTTGGCAAGCACAGTCCGACAGACCTTTACCTACTCTAAATGGGCGAAGGACATAAATGAGGATCTTTCATCCCGTTCACAAACAAAAATAAAAACGGGGTTATAAGCTTCGTGACGTTAAGGAATAAAATATGAAAACAAAAAACCTTACCTGTAAACAAAAGCTTGAATAATTATCGTCAAGCTTTATGTGTACCTATTTACCTAAGTAAAAAATTACTGGAAAACAAAAAGACTACTATACTAGTGACAATATAAAAATGTTGTGTATTGAGAGTGTGGAGTGGTGGAAAGTCCATGGTCCAAACAAGATTTTTTCATTATTTGTCAAATCTTTCATTAGAACAATAAATAATTATTGTTCCTTGTTTACTTTTCGATTTTCCTTTTTTCTAGAATATTAAATTAGTTGCTGATTTTAAAGGTTGTAAAATTGTCTATGTGTTATTACACATAGACAATTTTACAACCTTTTTTATTTCATTTTTAACCGACTTTAAAAACACAAAAGAGGAGGTTATCAATTCGTCTGTTTTTTTTTTTATGTTTGTTCTCCGTCAATTGTTTACCGATTTTCAAAATTCTTTTTGTAATCGAAAGGTCCCAGATGGTCCCATTACTACCAAATCAATTTCTGATGGTGGGATCTTAGAGAAATTGAGGAAATCCCTCAAATTTCACAGTCCTGTAAAACGTGTTTTAGCTTATTTCTCTACCTTTATAGGTATTTGCGTTTAGTAGTCGTTGCTATTTATAAGGTTAGGGGTGGGAACTTGCTTCGAAACTTCGAAAATAAAAACCCTAGATGTATGGCCTGCGCCTGCGCAAACGTACCACGCGCCTTCGGCAATTGACTGATTACGTTTTATTTGTTTGTTGCAATAACTATTGCATTTTATGAAATTCTAATGATAGTGCACTTAGTTTCGAGTAGGGTGCAGTTTTTCCACTGTGCAAAAAGTACGAAATTCGAAGTATTTCAAGTGATATAGACGGTGTAGCAGGTAGTATCTTTATTTATTATTTACTCGTAAGAGGGTGCTGTTTTAATAATAAATAATTTTGGAAAGTGCTATTTAAGATACGTCGATTGGTATTTTTTTGTTTTTTATATCTCAAATTTACAGACTGGGGGGGGGGGGGGGGGGTCTAGAACGGAACTTGCTATTATCATGTTACCTGTTATATTGAGAGTACTTATTATGGTTTTTTTTACTTACATTTGTAATTATTTTTTAATTTTTGTGCTCTTTGTTAGTATTGTATGAAGTCGGTTCAACTTTTTTTAAAAGGATTATTGTTTTTATAAACTTCGGCACATGATGTCACAGAATTGTATGTCCCACAAATGTGACCAATTATGACAAACATGGAGGGAGGGCAAAAAGTCATGAAATGCGTGTATCCGTATTTTGTCGTGCGGAGAGGTTCAACCCGCAATCAGTTAATTGCAAGTTCAGCCATATCCCAGCTGCCGTTCAAATGATGAATAAAGTTATTATTGGTGTTATATATCTTCTTATTAACTGATATAGTAGTTGCCTTCCTCTTCAGTAGCTGTCGTTATTATATAAATATGTACACAAATAGGTATAATTATATTATTTGTTACCTGGTCAATAAAGAAACTAGCGTCACCTGTTCATCATGTTTTTCTGCGTTGACATCAATAGACCGATTTTATTATTGTATGAACTGATATTTACCAATTTTGTTTGTCGTCCCATAAACCTGCTGACGATTGCACTGCTTCTCACTACCGAAAATCTTTTATCTTCGCGCGACATATCTGGACTTTAATCTAGATTTGTGACAGCAAACTAAATCTAGATGGTTACATTAAGATTACAGTTCTTACCCTGAGTAATTATAGATATGTCGAACAAGAACTACAATTAACGATAAGAATGCATTTGTTATAATTATTGTTAAATTTACTTTATAAAACTGTATTTGGTTTTCGTATTTTATCAACAAACCACGTAATCAACCTTTTATACACTTAAAACTCTGATTTTAAAAAGGTAATTTAAAAGGACAAGACAATTATTTAAATCATTATCGCAACCATACCCTGAGTCTTTGTTGCCTTCCATGCTTTCTTCGTGTATTACCAAAAATATCAGAATTTCAGGACCCCTGGTCAAGACAAATAAAACGAATAAATTACCAATATACACCACTATTATAGCTACTTATATAATATGTTTTATTTCGATTTACACCTACCTAGGAGGCATAACTACAATACTACATAATTAACATTAGGTTAATTTAAATTGCGGATCCTGGTGTCCAGGTCTAAAGTTCACACTTGTTGCCGAAATGTTATTAATTTTTAGTCTGCTCAATATATTTTCATTTTAATTTTAATGCGCCTTTTCATTTTAATTATAATGCGCCTATCATTTCTGTTATGCGCTTTCTACCAATATCGTCTTTCACGCATCATATTCATCTTTTTTATCCTTTCTCTGCATTCATTCGTCTATCTATGCTAGCATACCACGGTAGTGGTACCACCATACCAATTTTATGATTTTAATGTAAATTTATATGTTATTGAAAAATTTAAATGTAGTAAGAGAACTGATTTGTTAATATATACCTTTCGAATTTTTTGCCCATGTACTTTATTTTGACAGGTGTTTTTAAGCATAAACCAAAATTCATGATTTATTCTGTGCATTGAAGTCTGTAGCCTGTGGTCCGGGTCCTCCCCGATTCTCCCCATTTATCAAAGGCAATGTGTCAAACGTGTCAAAAACAAGTAGAATTAGTTTCTTCAATTCTTATCTGTTTGATAATCAATTAGAATATTAGATCAATAATTGAAAAAAAGTAATTTACACATGCTCTAAACTCTAAGCTTAAAATATGACATTTGATTGCTATGTTTTGTTACTTAAGTCATTATGAGCTTTCAAACATCACTGGATAGCTACTTCAAACATAAAGCACTGGTTACTCAATCTAATAAGATGAATGTAGAGAAGAAGGCCAAAAAACGTAGTTTGAGCCTTTCAAGATCCTCTGAGAAGTACAAAACACCCAAAAAGGTAGATCATCAATCAGGTGGGTTGCAATCTCAATTAAATAATGAAGAAGTGATATGTTTATCAAGCAGCAGTGAAGATATACTGACACCGCCAGTAAAAATATCTCACTCTGATCACTCCGTAGTTAAAGACAGTGACGACCTTTCATTGTCCCAAGAAAAATCGCATGAAAAAAAGAATAATGTTAAAAAAAACTTGGATTCCCCTAGCACCAGTGGAGGTTCCACTATTACATATAGCTTATCACCTAGGACATCACAACAAACTCCTAGAACACCATCGAAAACACCATCCACACCGAAATCTGGAAATAAGTTCTTTTCACCAACAAAAAAACGAGCTGTTACTAGCAAAAATTCAGCTAAAAGAAATTTGAACATGCAGTTTAAAGAAAACAATCAACAAAATGGTACTAAAGATGAAACATCACAGCCTAAGTACCAGGATGATAAAAGTAAGTATGAAACCAATACTAAAACCAATGAAACATTGTCAAGTGTTTATTCACAGTAATAATTGTAGTTGCCCAGCTATTTACATGATGTGTATCTTAAAATGTACTTTTTACACAGAAGAATTCTCAGTAAAAGCATTTTTTTGTTTTAACTTCCCTTTTTACATTACTTTGTATATAAAATATTGGGGTTCTGATTCTGAAACTTTTATTTTGTAATGTCTGTTTTCGAAATATCAGTAGTCTAAAACGGAACCTGAAAGTATTTTCCGGAGTTTACTCCTTCAGAATAGATTTTTATATACGGTGCCCGGTATGACAAAAATATGAAGAGTAAAATTTTGTGATTGAATGATCTTGTTATGTTTTTAGTGAGCAACCCATAGTGTGCACCATTCATATGTTTGTATATCACTTGTATACTTGTGTGCAGCCGAATAGTTCTTAAGGAGTAAACTCCAGTTGTGTGTCTGAGCTGACAAACACACTTTTTTTTTTACTTTTCTTCTAAATAACAGATTTTTGTGTTTTGGTATGGGGTTTATGAAAATGCAGGGTTATGATAAAAATGCAATGACAACACATTCCTTTAAAGGAATTCTTGTTACAGCTTTAAATCTTCTAAATATAATTGAGAAGTATCTAAATTGTGATGAATTGAAGAGATTACTAAAAGAAGACTCGCAGGAAATGCTGTCAAATTTTACATTTCTCGAGGAGCCTAGCATGAGAGTAGTGTGCCGCTTATTCTGGCGCCAGCCTGGCTGGTACAGAGAAGAACAAATAGAGGACATAGCCAGTGGAAAGAAACAAATATCTAACCTTAACAAACATGAAATAATAAAGTCCCTTGTTGATAATAGATGGATTATATCTGCACAAAGTCAAGGTATGATTTTTTAGTCATTATACACATACACACATAATTTGTAACTTAAGCAATTTGCAATTAACAGATAATTTGCTGGCACATATGGAATGGAAGGGTAATGTCTTATAATACATGAGACACATAAAAAGATTTTAAGATATGTTGGGGGGAAAGACAGTTAAGACCGATCAAAAAATCTACTTTTTTATTGCATAAATTGTTAGTATTGTTAGCAGTTACTCAAAAATGTGTTATTAAAATTTGAAAGCAAAATTCCCATTAGTTCCAATGCTATGAACACTTAAGTGACACATTATTTTATTTCAAATGCGTTTATCTGGAAACAACCTTTTTTCAACTGGTGGGCATTCTAGCTCAAAAAGTAATTGACCAATCGTTTTGCAATTAGTTGTGAATATTTATTTATTATTATTATATATATTATTATTCTGGGATTATATTATTTAAAAAAAAATGCAAACTAGTTGATAAAATAAGGTGTAAAAATATGATATTGTGTTTGAACACCTAAAAAATATGAAATTTTAAATTCTTTTGATCACAATTAGGTTCATATTCTTAGAAAATATAAGGTTAACAAAATACAAATTTATTATTTATTTATTCTTACATACACAATATAAAAATTTATAAAAAATAAATACATTAAGGAATAGTGGGCACAAAGGCAAGCTTAACCCATAATTGAGTGCTCTTCCACCAAACCTTAAAGAGTGAAGAGAGGATAGCACAGAGAGAGAGTTGTGTGTACAGAGTAAATTTAAGAAAATATACAGAAATAGAATATTCAGCTGAATATATACACAAAACGAACTAGATATATATAGAACACACAACAACTTATACACGAAATAATAGAATGTCATGTAAATAATCTAAAATATAACACCAGCTTATACATCACATTAATAACCAAATGTAACATTAAACATCCAATACATACATAGATTAGTCTGTTACTGCTGACAAAGGAAAAATTCCCTAATTCGCCTATTAAAAACACTTAAAGATGGGCTACCGCATATTGAGTGGGGAAGAGAATTCCACAGTTGCACCGCAGACACAGTGAAATACTTGTTATAGCGGGTTGAACTATGAGAAGGAGTTTGGAGGAGAAGAGAAGATGAGGTGCGACAAGATCTACTTCAGGGGCTAAGAATGTCAAAATTGTGATGATTACACATAAAAATTGCGACTTCAGGAATGCCTATCATTAAAATACTTGGATGGCAATCGTCAATGGACAGCACATTCTAACGCCACTATTTCTGGCCACTATTTATTACTTATTAAAAATTCACGAAAAACACCAAAATTTCGGCCTTCTAAACCGGTTTCCCCCCCAAGAGGCTTACAACTATCTTGAAAATCATAATCGTTTTTAGATCATCATAGAAAATTATTTAAAATGATATATGATGAAACACTTAATTTAACCAGTTCTTATAAAAGTGAATTGAATTTATCATTTCAGATGACAGTAATATGGGCTTTGATGATTATGTAAAACTGCTCAAGAAACCAGAGCTCTCAGAAATATGTAAAGACCTTAAATTAAAAATTCAATCTAAACAAGATGCTGTGGATGCTCTGAGAAAGTTTTGCCAGTGTACGGCCATTAGTAACTTTTTTACTGGCAAAATGGGCAACAATACTAGTAGAGTATTAAAAATGTAAATACATATTTTAAAAATTATATTCATAGACTAACAATTAGCTACTAGTTATGATGGGTGGATGGTAATACTACAATTTTTTTGTAACTATCTTTGTAAAAGATTATTCTTTTCAAACAATTTGTAGTGGGCAAAAGTTTTATATTTCAGACAGGTCACCTGATGGTAAGTCTACCACCAGCCATTGACATGTGAAACTCAAAAGTCACAAATGCGTTCCTTCGAGTCCATCCCCTCAGAATTAAGGGAATGGGGATATGAACCTCTGGTAAACTCACTTACTGGATGAAAACCAATGAAAGATTTGCTTTACACCTATTCTGTGTGGGTGTGTTATCACTCTGACCGAGATGGCCTATATGTGTTGAAGCTTGGTTTTCTCACAATTTAGTTTATTCATATCTATACTAATATTATAAAGCTGTAAAATTTTTTTGTTTGATTGAACACGTTAATCTCAGGAAGCACTAGTTCAAATTGAAAAATTTATCGAGAAAGGCTATAAGTTACATAATATCACACACACTGACTGCACGGATGGCGTAGTGGTTTGAGCGGTCGCCACGCCGCTTACTACTACGCCGAGTGTTGTGGGTCCGATCCCCACATGGGACGACACTTTGTGTGATCCACCAATTGCTGTTCTGAGTCTGGGTGTTCATTGTGTCCGTTTCATGTATGTTTGTAAAGTCCCCCGCGACACATAATAAATTCCTAATGCGGGCGTTGTTTTAAAAAAAATCAAATCATCTACTAACAATAGGAGCTGAGCATCAATTAAAAATGTTGCAAAAACAGGAAAAAAATATTCCTTTTGAGAGACGCAGACGACGTTGCGCAGGTCAGCTAGTATACTTTCTAGGGTATACCCCCGGCTATTAGTACCCGAGACGGCGTGCGGTTTTAGTCGGTTCGAGTCCGACATTTAGGTGGTAGGTATCCGAGGGGATTTCCGCACGGAAAAAAAAAAGAAATGGTCAGCTAGTATACTACATGAACATTTAGCGAATGAATATGGGCACGATATGTTTCTGGTTGCAGTTAATTCCTGGTAATAAATAATATTAGACATGGGCCGGCTCAACTGGTGTGATACCGTGTGACCAGGTGACTGATGTTACCGGAGGTCCAACCCTGCGCTCCCTAATACTAAGAGGATCACTCAAAAAGTTTGCTCCCATACCATGTTACTTTTGTTATGTCCCACAAATTTTGTCCTCAATATTACAATAGCGAAATAATTAATGAAAGCAGAACATTTAATTTTGCACCCATTTTGTTTCAGGCTTAAAATAAAGACTGGCCATTGTTATAAATTATCAAATGTTGCTCGAAGTACCCTATATGAATTATATGTTCTGATGTATATGGGTATGAATTATTCAATTATAAGAGAGAAAAGGTTGGAGCTAATATTACTACACGATAAAGTGAAGAAAGAAACCTATCCTATAGATAAGCATATGGTAGTTGATAATGCAAGTGTGGTGTTCAGTTCAAGAGATGAATTTTATAGGTATATGTTCATATTGATTTTTTAACATACATGTACTCACATGTCTCACTGTCCTCCATTTCACTTATTCTACTTCTTCTCTTGTCCTAAACTATATAAAGTAATAGCATAATTCTCGTCTCCTGTAAAATATGTAAAAAAAATCTGCTACCTCAGATACTGAGCTGTTAGACTGTATCTGACGTTTTAGTCTGTAGAATTTTTATTATATCGTGATTAAAGGCCTTATATTCTCCCTATATATTTCAGATTGGTTTTGGCATTTCACTTGTAAAAAAGACATCAAGTTTTTATAGCACAGAGAGAACATTGTATTTTTTTTTCTTAAAAAACATAAAACAGCGTAATGAACTGATTTACTCTTAATAATTGCTTATAAATTATTAATAATCTTTTAGGTACTTTGAGTCTCATCAATTATATGACAAATATATGGAATCAACGGATACTCAAGAGAAGTGTGATATCGTATTACAAGCATTTAAACTGTATAAAGAAGTGGCAGAGGAAGATATGTTACGGTAACAGTTTATATTACTTAAGCTATGACATTTCTGAAAAGCTTATACAGCTATTTATCTGTATCATGTTCTTAGTTTATATTTCAAACGATCCAGTGGAGATACTCCTTATATTAATGACCCACCCCACCATTTTCAATTATAATTTTTTTATGTTAGAGGGGGCAGACGAGCAGACGGGTCACCTGATGGAAAGTGACTATCGTCGCCCATGAACGTCAGCAACTCAGGAGTCACAAACGCGTTGCCGGCTTTTTAGGAAGGAGTACGCTCTTTTCTTTTTCTCATTTCTTTTATGTTGTTATTTTTTAATGTCTTCAAATCAACATAAATGACAAAAGCCACAACGTTTGACAATAACTAGATATGACGTCGCGCCTTAGTATAATTAGTACGTCTATCGATTTGCACGTTTAGTAAAAAGATAAGAACTTTACACATTTTTTTAATGTTGCAAAGACTTCAGCACAAAGACAATCAGTTTTTTTTTTAAATACAGTTACAAGTCATTGCCCCCATGGTTGCGTAGATTCACGCCTGCGAATACGTATGTAAAAATTTTGGAGAGTGGTGTTCAGGAATTGAAGAAAGACAAGTCAGAGAAGAAGTACACCCTCGCGGTGCAGATACTCGACTCTCTGATAACTCAACTGGATTTTAGACAACACAAGAAGTATAAGTGGTATGCTGAGAAGGCTCTCATTTTACACAAACATTTAGATCGTACTGAACTGGTAATTACCTACATATTTGTTCAAGACAAAACAATGAAATTGAACGTTCACTATATGACATTAATTATTTATAGGCTGTTCGTACTTTGCTGGAAGGGTTCAAGGCAAACTTGTCAGAAGAGGCTAAAGACGTTTTGAGACCTCGCGCCAAACAAATAGCTAACCAGCGCAACGTGGTCCTCAGCGACGAACTGCGACAGTCTTTGCAACAATACGTGGAACAAGAATTTATTTTGGAGAGTAACCTTCCAGCTGACCACGTCTACAAATTGCCTCTTGAGTAAATATGTGATTGTTATACATTTACTAGATAGACTCGATTGATGATATGAATATTGAAAATGCCTTTTTTACAAGTTGTATAAAGTACTGTTTAGTCTTTACTCAATGGTATTTTAACCCAAAAAAAACAATTATTCTCCTATTCATGTGTCATTTGTGGATCACACAAAGTGTTGTCCCATGTGTGGATCAAATCCACAACACTCACAGTAGGAAGCCACGAGGTGACCGCTTAAACCACTGCGCCATCCGTGCAGTATCATAATAACATAAGAATTCCTTGTACGATGTATCTTACATTGTATCTATTTCAGCAATCATAAGCAGAGGGGAAAGCTCAAATTCGAGACTCACTTAGAGGACGGAAGAACCGTACTCTCAGCCGAAGAGTACTGCGTTGTACATTACACGCACAACGGGGAATTCACGCACGGTAAACAAATTTATCTTAAGAGAAGTGTAGATGATCCGTTGAGTTCTTTTTATAATCATGGCAGGACTCTTCCTGAAAACCTTGCTGTGGCTTTGTTTTCATACTTCATTTTCTCACAAATCGCCCACAATCTCACGTCGGGCCATGCTCAGAATAGTCGCCTCTATAGAAAGTGAATTTCAGCTGCTGAAGGGTTTGTGTTGCTTTACAGGCGAGCACTGGGAGGGTAGAATAGTCAACACCATATTTTTCCTGTTGTTCTGGGACATAATATACACAAAGCCGGAGGGCATTCCCGGTATATTCATGAGTCACTACCAGCGATACCCGTTAGATCTATACTCTGGAAGTTTCTACAGTAATAGAAAGGCAGCCATCGATGAACGACTCCAATTTATCGAGGAGAGCACTGATGAAGAGGTACTTGTGATGATGCAAAATCGATGGGAAGAACGACCTGAATGTAAGTACATGAATACTGGTTGAAATCATGCTGTAAAATGATTTCTGAACTTATTTTGAAGGTAGGCTGATGAGCCACCTTAAAAATACCGATCAATTATATCTCATAATTATATATGTCAAAGGTACATAATGTACTTAGGGCCATTATTGTTATATAGTGTGCTAGCTAGCTGTAGCTGTGTAACCTACATAACGTAACAAAATATTGAGCATCGATTGAGCCCTTACACGTTCTCAGGACAAATAAAAGGTACCTTTTTTTATGAAACCACATGTGCGGATATTGTTTATCGCGTACGTGTTGTAAAGACGTGGTTGTGATTGTTTTCACTTTACTGTAATTTTTATAGAAATCATCTGGTAATTTTGTGTTAGCAGCTGTTTTAAGTGATCAGCGTTTGAATTTAATTGACAACATAATTTAGAACAAATTATTATTACAGAACAAGCGATTATGCTCATCACATAATTATTTGTCCTGACAAATACAACATTTCTCCTATTACATAATATTAATTATACTTGTGCACTTTTTTTCTGTGGGGATATTCCCTCCGATGCCACCCATCGGTGGCTATGTCGGACCTGAGTCGTTTGCGGTACCTGGCCCGCGCCCCCGGGCCTGGCGGGCCGGAAGAGTTCAAAACCTCTCCCGGTCCCGCTCCGCCATCTCCTTCGCAAGCATAACTTTCTCGTGGAACATCGCATAACTCTCGCTCCGCAATCATAGCCGCATGGCCGCAATCATGTTACCGAGCGAGAGAACTCCCACCCCCATGGATGCCACGAGGTTATACTTGAGCACCTAAAAAAAATTAAACAGCAATGGTTAAAAAGAAAACTTTTTGCTATTAGTCTAGTGGTTAGCAAATCTTGAATGCTAAGCAAGAGTCTGATTACTCAGATATATTAAGTTATTATTATAATAACATAGAGGCTCGGCTGTCTTACTGCTTACAATTACTAGTAAAACAACAGAGATCAGAATCGTGGAATGAAACGTTACGACCGACGTTCACCTTTTTGCATGGTAGTGTATATAAGGTTTTACGAGGTAGTATCCCATTGCAGACGAAGTGTCGGAGATATGTCGCAGTATGGGCTGGGCGGCGGTGGCGGCGGTGGCGCGGTGCCTGGGCGCGCGGGCGCTGGCCGCGGTGTGCCGCCGCCTCGCCAGCGACTACAGCTATACACATTCGGGCTTCCCGGACTTGACCTTGTGGAATGTGCACACTAAACAGGTAACTTCATACACACACACGCAATAGTAGATTGATGACTGCATGGATGGCGTAGTTTGACACGGTCACCTCGCCGCTTCCTATTGCCTTGAGTGTTGTGAGTTCGATCCCCACATGGGACAATACTTTGTCTGATCCACAATTGTTGTTTGAGTCTGGGTGTTCTTTGTGTTCGTTTTATGAATGTTTGTAATAAGAAAAAGATCATTATCTGCAGTTCAAATCGCTATGATATTGTGTAGTATCAATAAGTGCTATGTATATTTACGGTATATTTAAGGCCAATCTAATTATATCATTTTACAGATAAAGTTCGTTGAAGTGAAAACGGACTCAGACAAGCCATCCATGAAACAGCTGCAATGGATGCAGTACTTGATAGCCCACAACATCGCGGCCGGGTTCTGTTACGTGGGGGTCAACACCACTCGATCTAAAGCGAGGTCGCGCGATAATGCACCGATACTTTGAACAGAAAAAAATATTAAATTTATAAGAATTGCTGTTGATATGTGATGTTTATAGCCTTTATAATTCTTTACCGTTCACCTTTGTAGTGAATTCTACAGATATTTAAGTAAAATTGTTATTTTTATATTAAAAATATCTTTCATAATTATATTCTCATTCACTGCTGTACTTTATATTTATAAACTGAACTTTACAAAATAATATACACTGTACATGATATGACTTACGATAATATACGATTGCAATTATAGCGATTATACACGGTGATTTTTTAGGCGTTTTGGAAAGCGAAACATTTTAATTTGGAATCATCTATAGTACCAATAAAAATGATTAAATCAATTGTAATGTTGTCTAAAAAAAAGTTTCAGTTTTAATATTCATTTTTACTCGATCGACTTGGAAAGTAGTAATGGACTGATCATTCATTCATTATCTTATATGAATGAAACACGTCCGTGGGCGTTTCGGCGGCCGCTGCGCACCGCTGACGCTTACAGCAGCTGATAAAAGTATACCTATAGGCGCGAGCTAGAAAAAAAATGGGTAAAATTACATCTAACCAGTACAGTACCAGTTACATCAGTATAGCTACTTACGTAGATAGACTCCAATTTGTCCTTCATACTTTACACGGGCTTAGGACCGTCGGAAATACCTATTTTATTTAAAGTTCTTTTCGATTATTAACCACGATTGTTCTTTTCACAACAAATCAATTTATCAATGGACTGTAGGTATAAATATTTCAAGCGTATTTAAAAAATCGGAGCTATCTACAGAATAATTAACTTACATACCTATTTACACTATTTATACTTCTCTGTATCGAAGAAACTGCTCAAAATGGAGTCCGCTGCATTCAATACACAAACGTCCACGTTTAATGCAATTGTTTTTTAATTTTCTTAATGTGTCTCTATCACTTTTCACTTTATCAAAAGCGTCCACTATCGCAATGCGTAAATTATCACGGCTTTCATATTCCCGTGTATAAACAAGTATAAAAATACTTGTTTATTTCCGACCATAAGAAAAAATCCAGGGGCGTTAAGTCCGGGCTTCTAGGTGGCCAAGGCACTGGCGCTCCTCGACCCATCCACCGATCACTAAACTCATTGTCCAGGTATGCACGCACTACACTCCGGCGAATAATAATTTAAACGTCCTTGACCTTGCGCGTGAGTATAGTATTTCTATTCGTAGTATTTACCTACTTGCGATTGAAAAGCCCTACTACTGGTTCTCACCTTTTCTCTGTAATCGATATGAATATCGACTTTGACGATAAAAAATATATATATTTTATTAAATTAACGTTATATATAGCTTCTGTTACTGATAAATAACTCAAAATTTTATTTTCCAAAACGCTTTCAAAATCACCGTGTATATATATATTATCTAACGATAAATAGATAGTAACAAAGTGCCATTTTTGATACTGTATTGTACTGTGAGGTGTCGTACGGTTTTAAGCGATATCTGAACATACGATAGGGCCTTACACCCTTTTATGAAGAGTTATAATTTGAGCATAAGTAAAGCAGATAATTTAATATTTTTATTCTATGGATAAAAGACATTCAATATAGTAAGTATAGAAAACGGTTAGATGTAATTTTACCCATTCATGACTACTATGGTCGGTGGTAAAAATGTGAGTTATTGCAGTTTTGCCAATGTTGTGTTATGCAAGTCAGACGTCCTTAAATATAAATACGTGAATATACCTAGTCAATCGTTGTTTCCATTAAAATGTGCACACATTTAATGTCTATTGAAATGAAAGATCGTGTGGTGAGGGATTAAGAATACGGGGTGTCAGCACCCCTATTCGGTTTGGCGTAAGAGCCGGCTACCGAAGCAAACTACACAGAACAACAACACTGCAAAGAAAAGAAAAACTTGACACAAACCCTGTACTGACCCGTCTGGCTAAAATCTCTTTTCTAAGGAAAGGCCTATGTCATGAAGTGGCCCTATTAAAGTTTGTTGATGATGATGATTGAAATAAAATGTTTTGAAGAATCCTATTTTTTTTATGATAGAGGGGGAGACTAGCAGACGGGTCACCTGATGGAAAGTCCATCGCCGCCCATAAACGTCTGCAACTCAGGAGTCACAAACGCCTCGCCGGCCTTTTAGGAAGGAGTACGTTTTTTTCTTGAAGGTTTGAAGGTCGTATCGGTCCGGAAATACCGCAGACGATAACCCGTTTCACAGATTGGTTGTGGGAGGCAAAAGGTATATCGAAAAGCGCATAGTAGTGGAGCGCCAGCTATCCAGGTGATGAGGCTGAGAATTTTAAAGTTTGGAACGATGGAGGAAAGTTGCGGTAGGTATTAGTCCGAATAATTGCTCGGAGCACTCACCATGATACAGCGATAGAGAATGCAGAGTGAAGCCACATCTCTACTTAACGCCAAGGGATCGAGGCGATCAGAGATGTTTGAGCTATCGACGATTCGAGTCGCTCGAATATTGTTATTAGATGCGTCTGTGGTGTTCCACTCGCAATTTATCAGTATCATCTATCCCGCGGGAACACTACATTGTTTTGGGGGTAATAGTACCTAGTAGCAGTAGTAATCCAGGGTGCCAACTACCTCCATATCAAATTTTTTATCCTAATTGGTTAAGCTGTTTGAGCGTGAAAAAGTAACAAACACACACAAACATTCATCTTTGTAATATTAGTGTGATTTTACTGAACTTTGAAAACTTTTTATTTATCCTTAAAAGCTTAAAAAGTTTTATATTAATTTCGTAAATCTGTTTTCATTGCATTGTTTTAACAATTGTTTACAACGGACGTTATTCAGTGAAAACGTGTTCAGAAGTTCTTTCAAGTTGTGCCTATACTTTACGAAATAGACTTTATAGCAAAAAGATTAAAATAAGTATGTACTCGCTCAAACGTACACATCAATTATGTGATTGTCACTTGAACATCTGTCAACGCTCATGTTCGTTCAGAATGGTTTTTTACGAGAAGTATACAATAACAACATTCATAAGAAACATCTATTGATTTTTGAATACAATGTATCCAGTATACATCCCACTGTTGGCCATGTCCGCTGTATCAGCGCTCTCTGTAGTTTTCCTGTATTGTAAAAACCGAGGGAACTCCAAGAAAGGATACATGGACGTAGAACAGAAACCGTCCTGCGGGGAATGAAAGAGTTAGTTGTAATCATATAAATGGTCTTATGTTTTACTGTACACTATGTTTAAATATATGCTAATAACTTTCGTACTTTCTTATTCGTTTGTCTAATCTTGAGTGTCATTTCAGATCAGTTATTGAGGATACGGTTGTTGTAATAAAGAATGTGAGGAATCTATTTAAGATGGCCCTGATAGCCAGAAATCTATAATCATTATTGTTATGTAAAGTAGTATGTAACGCAGAGGGCGTTGTTCAAAACTGTGCCACGCCGAAACCCCTTTTGCAAATCTGCCATTGTGTTATTTAGTGCTAATATCATATTTATGTAGAAGCCAATCCGTGTAGTGACGGATTAAGAATACGGAATGTCACTACCCCTATTCATCCCGTGGGTATCGTAAGAGCTGACTAAGGGAGCAAACTACGCAGGACAACAGCACTGCACAGAGAAGCAAAACTTCAAAAAAAACCCTATATCAACCCGTCTGGCCAGCGTGGTATAGTAGGCCAAAACCTCCTTTTAAAAGAAAGGCCTATGTCCAGCAGTGGTCTGCTATAGGCTGCTATATTGATGATGATGATATAGAAGCCAAAAAATGTTGTTGGAAAAAATTAACAGTTTAAAAGTGGATTAGGAAACTGTATCTGTGATCTCACGTAGTTCCACAGCAATAGATAAATCTCGATAAACCTCGAGTCCTCGCCTGTGAAGTACAGGGGCGCGGAGGTAGGACGAGAACTGGGAACTAGGCCAACTGCCTCGTCTAGTATAGGTCGAAAGTCGAAATTGCATTCGTTATTGTTTGATAGGTATATATTTTCACTCAGCAGCAGCAGTTAAATGGATCTGGGTAGAGTCGGAAGACCTTCAGGTCAAACCTATCGCATCATCACTTACGTAAGAGCCCGACAGAGAGCGGTTTGGAGTTCCGAGTTCCGCGTTCTTTACAATGTGCCGAGTCCTTACGATACCACATATAGCAGGTAGTTAGACCGCGGCGGTCAAAAAAGTCGCCTAGTAGAGATCTTTTTCCGCCGAAACAGAGAACGCCGTGATGTCTGATGGAAATACAGAAAAGTAATTGAATTGGTTTAAAAGAGTTTATTATTTACAACATTAATTTCAAATTGTTTAACGGCTTGTTGGTCTAGTGGTTAGTAATCTGACACTAAGTCAGAGGTCGTGGGTTCGATTCCCACCTATGACAAATAATTGTGCGGTGAGCATGATCATTTGTCTCCGGGTGTAATTTATCTATAATATGTATGTATTCAGAAATAAATAAGTCTGGTTACCATAGTATAGGCTCTGCCTAGTTTGAGATCAGACGGCCATGTGCGAGATTTAAGTTACGTAGACTACAAAAATCATAAAATACAGCCAGCCTTCCTTTTGCTGAAATAGGCTTCCTCTATTTGTATTTTCGTTTTCGATAACTCTTTTTGTGATGTGCAAATTAAAGTATTTATCGACATGCTAAAATTGGTGCTCGGAACTTTTGAGCGGTCGACTATCACTAGAAAGCCAAACACCAGACCGATTATTACGCGGGTTAAAGCTTTGGCTGCTTGAGTTGAGTTTGAGTGAGTCGATAGTGGTATAATATACCACTTCAATACTTCATTCCCCGTATATATTGTATATTAGGTTAGAAAATAACAACACAATTCTGTAACATTATTTATTAAAATATATTCTACTAAAAATTCATAACATAGTATGTACAATTTCAACAGTACACCTCTTTAGGACAATAAGGCACCTATTTTTTACTTATACGATATAAAACCTACGACTTTTTAAACCCATAAAGATTTATACATGATAATAATTCATACAAAAAGAAACTCTCACCACATAACGATAAAACCAATCAAATAACATATATATATAACATATCGTTGAGCATTTATTAACAAATAATTTGTTCTACTAAAAAATAATAAATAGATATGTATGATACTAAAATTAAGTCTAACATATTGACAAACATTAACAAACGCAGCTGGACAAAATTAAAATCTCGCTTTTTTGGTCTTTAAGCTCACATGTAAATTGATATGTAAATTGTATGCTCAGCGACGTTCGTTGTTGAGTGTATATATATATAAAAATATAATCGAGATAAAATGCCTATATTCACCTTCAATCCACTTAAAAAACCTAATAGGACATTCCCCAGTAATTTCTTATAATACCGTCACCTACTTTTAACTTCCATGGTAACTTACTTCCAATACTAGAACCTTGACTCTTAGTATTTTGACTCTATTTGGAACAAACAAAAATATATATATATATATATATATATATTACCTGAACGTACTTTATGTCTAATAAATATGGGATATATTACTATAACCACATACGACAAACAACGATCTTTTAACACTTACAATCTTCTCATAATGGACACTGAGATATCCATACAATTCCTTTCAAACTAGAACTAACACTTAGCGTACATATCAGTTCAACCAGTAACATCCTACAACATTACAAGAACAGGTCATTAGATGTGTAATAATTTTACTATACTACATATAACCTCAACATCAGGCCTACAGGCCAAGAATCCAACACCTACTTTTAAGTTTAAATACAATATGTATATAAAAAGATGGCAAAAGCTCATTTCCTACACCACGGCACAAGTTGGTTATTTTCTAATCAACTCCCAAAATACATATATATCCTCGTTTACAAACGCTTTTATTTAAATTATAATTATACAAATATACGTACGTATACATTCGGCTAAATTTATTAGTTTTCTTTATATTTTTTATGTTTTGTGCAAAAATACAGCATAGCACATTGTATATAACTTTCATAATAATATGGATACATAAATGTATGTATTTACATTTTCGTATATCATTGTATTCCTCAATATTCTATCATTTAAAGATATAATGTAACCGGATCTGAATACATGGTTTAGTGTTTTTCCTTACATTACACCAATAGGCTGTTAATATGAAATGGTTTCAAAAAACAGATCAGAATTATTTCAGAATCTGGATTACTTATTGCGTGGTTATTCTATGGCTGATATTTTGAGGATTGAGGAAATTAATCCTTTAACAATGAGTAAATAATAATTTGAATACAAAATATCACTTTTCTTAACATAGAAACAACATACAAATTCATATGCCCGAAACATATCTTATTATATTTATATAAATTGTGTTGATTTATTTGCGGCAAAAGTTGTTTTAAGTAAATATTTTTGGTGGAGCTGCCGATTTGAAGTCTATGCAATACGCATTTTCTTGGTAATAATTAATCAATGGCCAAAAAATTCTACATAATGCAGTTTGTATGGAGATTATCTGACAAAATTTGTCAGACATTTACATGTGCATACTTCATATGCACAGTCTGTCTGTCTTTCATTTATGCATCATTAAAGATGTCAATTACATTATAAATAATTGATTCTCTATACATAATACCTAGTCTGCTTTTGGTAGACACAGTAGAAAGAATTGATGAAAAAATAAAAAAATATATGCTTCGAACGTTGTCGGCAAATTATGTAGACAGCATAGAAATGTGTAGGTTGGTACAATAAATTACAAAATTTAAATATTTTTTTATCAAATATTTCATGTTTTCTGATAACAAGTTCACAAATACCATATCTTAAATTGCTAAATGCAAACTATACAGATTGAATATAATGCAATGTCGCGTGATGGCCATTCCAACAAGTGTGTTACAACTATAACATTGTAATGTCGGCAGTCTTCATTCGTGTCTCGTATTCAGGGCTCCTGTTCGTGGAACATCATTTATAAATATCATTTATGTAATCACTAATAAATAAATTAACAAACCTTCCACCATTTAGTCTACACACTTTCACCCTGACCACCAGCGATTTCATATTAGTAATGACAGTTTTTTAGTAATGATTAGTAATTGTTTTCGGGATTAATGCAATTTACGCTTAGTCAAATGGTAAAACTAGCCTACTTTGCAGTCAATTTAATTTATGTTCAATTTAAAATACTATTCAAAAACATATTTAAACATATTTATAAATATACAAGTATGTTTTATTTCACAATGTTTATATGTTGCACAATCTGCATATGTTGTTAAGGACGACAAGTGATTATATAATCATTCTCATTAGTCAAATTGAATTGTAATGTGTCTAAAAAGCGAATGTTTTATATGCGAGGATTGCTGATATAAACGCAGTAATGATTATTTAATACCAAGGATGTCGATTGCATAATAGTTTTAGATTTTTTCTGCCTATGGAATAATAACTGTCTGTAAAAACAGCTAAATTGGTAAATCATAAGAAATTGTCTGATAATTTCTTATGATCTACCAATTTGAGTTCATCCTTATTTCACTTCTAATCAATCGTCACGGTTACTGCGTTCGGTGTTGTGATTAGCTCGAATTGAACTCATCACCAATCACAACGTCTCGTCAACGTCGAAATAAACTTACACTAGGCCCTCTGTACTGGCAAATACATTCAATACATATACAAATACAATATAAGTATTTATTATTGTAAAGTACAAGTACATAAACTTATATGAAGCACTGATCTAAAAAAAACAATAGAGTATGGTTTTTATATTTTAAATAATTCGCGGTTTATGACTTATCTGACAACTAGACTGTAAAGACGAATGAATGCCCTGAACTTGGCTGTTGTAGATGATCTTGGTGGTCATAGACTAACTGTACAGTAACTGTACATTCGAATATCCGTCGTCAAAACTGCAATCCGGTCGTAATTTACGCTATATATGATTTGGTTCTTTGTTTTCAGACAGGCATAATAAAACACAAAAGGGCACACCTCACCAGTAATGGCGACAGACGAAAAAAAAACCTTATCCCCGTAGAATGAAGGTTCTCACATGTTGGGCTCCTGCTTGAATGGCATAGGCTCGAGGAAAGGCTCGTGCATCGGTAGTGGTCCCCCGAGGGGGGAGGCGGGTGAGAGGTGCGCGGGGGGTGCAGCCTGCAGCGCGCCGGGGGGTGAGGCCGCGCCGCTTACACACGCCGGAGACTCTTCAATGGCAGCTTCTGTTGATGCCCCTGCGTGAAAAGACGGTTAAAGTTTCTGTCGATGTTCATCTTTTAAAGGCATTTGACCTTTTGGCCCAAACTTTCGGTACGGCACGTTAGAATTATGACCAGAGATCGGAATAGATAGAGAGTATTTCCTTAAAATTCGTGGAAGTAAGTAACATAGAATAGGGTAATACCTCCTCTAAAATCTCGGAACCAAGAACATGTCAATTAAATCTCGGGATTATAAAAACACAAACTGGAATTTTGTAAAGTTATATATTATTTTATGGATTTGAAGCATCATAATCATATTTTCAGGGCTCCGTACCAAAACTGTGTCAGATTCAAATGTTTTGTTTGATGAATTAAAATTAAGTTGGATTTTTATACCTCAAATACAAATACACACACTACACACATTTTGTTGTACAATTTGGTTATTATTGTTTATTTCAATCAAATAAGAGTTATGTCAAAGAGATAATAAATAGTAAATAGTAGTAAAGAGAGTAACTATCGTTTTCTATTGTAAAATGTATAAGGAGAGCTTTCAAAAATTAATTTTGTATGTAAAACAAAGTTTTTTAATTTAACAGTACAGAATTTTAAAACATAATAGGATTCTTCAATATAAGAATTTAATTTAAATGTATTCATATAAGTAATTTGCAATTGATTAACTCCCGGTATTAAATCTTTATTTATGATTTCTGAATTTTAGAGAAGGTATTATTCTACTCTATGTTACTTACTTCCACAAACTTTAGGTAAATATACTTTATTATTATGGGTTTAGGAAACCACACACAGTGCTATCTCACTGTGTATGTTTGCTGAGTTATGGTTTGTACCAGTACAGGTAGTTCAGGCCAATCATTTAAAATAACTACCATTTAGGCAGAAGTGCCCTAACGTGTGAGGGTTTAACAGTGAGTAACAATAAACCGGGCGATATTGCCATTGTTAAAATAAAAAAATAACAAACTAAATATTCTACAGGATTTTTGGAGGGCTGAAGAAAGCAGAATTTTTTCAAATTTTGAAACCTCTATTCCTATTGCTGTCTACTAATTATGTGATGGCTATCAGTTGCTACTAGAACAGGAGGACCAAAAATCAGACCCGACCGAGCACCTGATGTTAAGTGACTACCGCCACCCATAGACACCCGGAACTCAAGAGTTTTGAGTCGCCTTTTGAGTCCCTCCTCCCCAGAATCAATGAATTGGGCTCTGGTAACCTCATTCCCACAGTGAACAACCATGAAAGAATTCCCAAACACCGAGTTCTCGTGAGGCCCTATCACTTTGACAGACAAACAGAGAGCCACACAAAGCCTTCACAAAGAGAGAGTATTTGTGCCGAAGCATGGCTCTCTCTTTGTGAGGGCGGTAGGAGAGGAATGGATCCGGCTGACACAAAACCGCCAGAAGTGGTGTGATAGAGAAGAGGCCTATACCCAGCAGTGGGTGCAACAGGCTGCTTAGTTAGATAGATGGCTCTCCCATCTGTATCTTTTTCTTTTATTCATTTGCTCTTAGCGGGAATCAAAACTGCATGGACCAAAAACCCCGAGTCTCTAAAGTGATAAATAGGTGATAGGGAACGGACCTCCGAGTAACATCTCCTGCAGCAGACTGTCGACGTGAGCGACGCCGAACAGCTTAGCGAACTGTATCTGCTCGATCATCTGCCACGTGATGCTCTGCAGCGGAGGCAGGCACAGCAGCAACTCGCCGAAGCGCCCGCGCCCGTCGTACTGCCGGTCCGATATATAGTCCTCCAAGTTGATCTGGATCTGGTAGCGCAGTTGCTTGATCTTCTGGGGCTGCGACAGTCCCTTCGCGTCTGCAAATTTATGCCGTTACTATAGAACATAGTCTGAGCCGATTAAGATATTAGAAAAATATTTTGGAATAGATAATTTTAGTCTGCAGTTATTTTTAAATTAATTTTAATTTTTGGCAAAGCTAAAGTTATTTGATTGTTCTTTCCTTTTGGAATTTTTTTGACGACACTGGATAAACTTTTCAAGTTCATAAACCAATTTTTCTATAATAGTTCTGATTTTCAGTTTTGATTCATATATTCGTATGTATATTTATTTGTTGATCTGTGTCTATACATGTGTATATTGTGGGTATAATAATACTGACTGGGATCAAAGAAGACGATGGCCTTGAGACACGCAAACTCGGTGTCATCGATGTCGATTTCTCGCAGAGGCTTCACGATCTCGTCCATCACCCGCATGCCGATCATGCTGATGTCTATATCCATGCGACCGTCTGTTGACAACGTATAACAAATTAAACTGAAGCTTAGATGACCAAGAGATCCAAATTCGACAGTAACTCATTATTTTTTTAAAGAATAAAACCTTTTCTAATTCCTTTTTAATAGAATAAAAAATTAATGGCAAAATGTTAAAGTTTGTTAATAGTTATAAAAAAGTCGGTTGACAAACATAAACGTAGAGAAAGGTCTATATTGTTTCATCTTTGCTTATTTAGTAATGGCATAAACTCGACCATAATTTTTATAAAAATAAAACAGTTTTATATAATTTTCCAAATTTTTTATACTGTATCTACGGTTTAAGCTCGTATATACAAACAAATATCAAGAGAATATCAGTTGGCAAAGAAGAAGACAATAGTATTTTGGGGTAAATTTCGGGATATAAGTGCGAGTAAGTTTACCGATGTTGTGCTTGGTGATGATGCAGTTGTTCCCGAGCAGCAGCACGTCGCTGAGGTGCAGCGAGCGGCGCGCGCAGCCCAGCAGCAGGTGCTCGCCCGCGTGCGCGCGCAGCAGCGCCACCTGCGCACCGACACCGACACTATATAGCGTTTGTTTTTGTTACACCTTGACTCCCTCTGAGCGATACGGTTATATTTCGTGGAACGTCATGTTTGAATGTATTATATACTTAAGTAGACTATCGAGTCAAATCGGTTCCTTTTCAACAAACTTCAAAACGATGTAGAAACATGTATTAAATAAAAGTTTACGACGAAATACCCCACTTTTGTTTCATCGTTTCTGCATAACTTTAATGTTCGATTTTACATTTAAAGTAATAACAATTTTTATTTTTTTTCTTGAAATAAAATATCATTTTATTTCATATCATCGTAACGATATTGATATTGTTAGAATGAAGTAGACCAATTTTCTTCTTTCTAACAGATAATCTCCTCCTTAATCTTAATATAGTGTAAAATAAAGTCGCTTTTTTGTGTTGTACGCTTAGATCTTTTAAACTAAGCAACGGATTTTAATGCGGTCTTCACCAATAGAAAGAGTTATTCAAGAGGAAGGTTTATATGTATAATACATGCATATTATATTAGATAAAATCAGAGAATTTCTGAAATTTGTAGTAAAAACCTGTTTTTGTGCGCTTACATTGCAAACGCTGGCTAAACCTTACGAGATAGACCAAAATAATGTACTGCGAAATTGTTTATCTTAAAAAGATCTACAAAAATCCGCGATGGTATATGTCTATCTCCTAAGGATAACCCACTGGATTATTTTTTAAATATTACAAAATAATAATGGGTTATTTAGGAAGCTATTTTATTTTGTAAAAATCTAATGAAAACCACTATCTCATAGCACAGCTAAGCCATAGATGGCATTAGTAGCCATTAATTGGATTTTTATTCATTATACATTATACGAGGTATTCATTCTACAGCGACGATAATTACTCACCACTGACACCATATTAGCAGTATCCACATTGCACCCGTGCGAAGCCAGGGCGGATCGCTAGCTAGACCACTTACTTTAATAGTAGCTTTAAAAAACTAAAATATTATGATACTCTTCTACGTATATCTTATATGGAACAGAGGGGTGCAGACAAACTTACCTGGTCATCCAATTGCAACTCAGTGAACGCTGGGATGTACTTAGCCCACTCGACCAGTATAAGTAGCTGCTGTTTGATCGAGTCACACACATCGTTGATCTTAGCTAGCTTGCGATTGTTAATTTCTGCATCTGTTACATTGTTTGTCTGTAAAAAATTACCATCAAATTAGTTACTATTTAACAAGTAATAAAGTTACTTTAGGTACTAGCTATCGGCGTTGATCACGATGAAGTTATTTTTCAGTAAGTAACAAATTCTTCTCTTGGATCAACTTATTGATTTATCTCTCTGTAAATGATCTTTAAAATTTATATCGAAATATATGTGCCCGATTGACGGAGGCTTGAAATGAGCATAGGTAAGTGGGACTAAAGTGATAGTCGATAAAACATGAGCTTTTGAAAACGCCGTGTATACAGGTATGTATGTAGGTACTTTGTCAGATTATAAGAACAAGTGAATAGATCGACATTTTTTTTACTGATTACTGGGAAAAGGAAAACTTGACACAAACCCTATGCAACCCACCTGGCCAGGGTGATACAGTAGCTCCTTTCTAAGGAGAGGCTTATGTCCAGCAGTGGACCATTATAGGCTGTTCATGACAATGAAAGGGAAGCTAGCAGAATTTTCTATTTTGGTTGACAAAAAACGTAACAACGTTGGAATATTAAGTGGCATGTACTGACCTCATCGATAACTTTCCTGCTTAACAATTCAGCATTTAGTAGTGACACTACTGACAGTCCATTAGCCTGAGCTGGCTCCTCGTACGACGGCCTTCGACAATTGATCCGATCTCTCTCATTCTGTACAGCTGGGAACAAAAGTGGAAGTAAATATTTTATACTTATTGTCTTTTTTTTAGTTCTTAATCTCTTTTTTTAATAAAAAAAAACCATAGATTCAACTTAATTTATGAAGCTGAATCATATTATGATCTAAATATCGCTCCTAAATTTTGTCTAAGTATAAATCTATCCCCAATTCATCCCGTGGGTGTCGAAAGAGCCGACTAAGGGCGCAAAACAACGCAGGTCACCAGCACTGCAAAAAGAAGGAAAACTTGACACAAACCCTATACCAACCCGTCTGGCCAGCGTGGTGTAGTAGGCCAAAACCTCCTTTCTAAGGAGAGGCCATGTCCAACAGTGGACTATTAAAGGGTGATGATGAAATCTATCCCTCGGGAATATATTTTCTTTCTATTTAATCGTTAAAGTATAATAAACAAACACTAACATTCGCATTAATATTACTAGCTATGACTAATTGGAATTACTTCAGTCTATGCATCTAACAGAACTATAGCTTTTGGTATTAGTGACAAGGAGACGTTCATTTTAACTACAATAATCGTTTACTATTAAACCGACATGATTATTTATTTATTTAAGGATCTTAAAAAAGAATATCACATAGCATTCACAGAGAATAATAAATTATTGATCTGGTGTATTCTTAATTACAGAAGATCACAGCCTGCATTAAGAGTCAAACATAACATTTGGTTTCAGAAATTACTATGACACAAATTTTATTTAATTAAAATTGATTAAATTAAATTAATTGTGTGCGACCTTAAGAACTTTAAAAAAGAAAAACAAGTAGCTCTAATAACGCAATATACATGAGACAGACAAGACTTCATGTAAACAACCGACTGTTTTATTAAGTGTATTCATATTATACAAAGCTAAATTGGTAAACAAGTTTTCGTTCCTTCTAATTGTGGTTGACTGCGCTTGACAATAATCGCACATCAAAAAGTGTCGGTCATTCTTGCCGGAAGAGGTTCTACATCGTTACTGTAATAATTAGCCCTCAAACTTACATGTCATAGTGTCGTGAAAAGGCCTTGTTGTAGCGTACCTTTATTATTATTATATAGCTTCGAGGGTAAAGGAAAACATGGAAGCCCCTTCATAGGTATATCTTGCATAATTTTCTAAATGTTTTTAAATTTATTTTAATTAATAAAGGTTGTGAACAAGGGCCTTTTTGTCTATTGATCGATTGATTGTAATTTGTTCTAAACAAATAATTCATACCAAATAAAAGTTTCCTTTTATTGAGTAATGACGTCAACAAAGATCATTTATGCAAATCACAGAAAACCGTGATTCAAGAGAATTCAATGTAAACTTTAATTAATAAATAAATACCATTCGTTTCCTATAAGTTTTGCGAGAAGCTTGCAAAATGATAAAAATTATGAATAATATGTATTTATGTAATAAACGTTATTGAGTGTTTGAAGTAATTAAAATATTATTGTCACTCGACTGATAAGTGGGTTGGTGACCTCTCGAGTTTCAAGAGACAACTTATTGAACAAAGAGAGAAGTCATTTCACATATTAAATGGCATTGTCTATGGCCTATACATGTTGTAAACACGACGGAATCTTTGGATGACCCCTCTCAGCTGCTGAGAATTTGCTAATGTACTGAGTGAACTTCGATGAAGACATGTACAATACAACAGTCACTTTCTGATCAGAGGGCACTAGTTACTCAGCTGCTAGTTGAAAATAATCGTTAAACATAAACGAGCAATAATTACTTCTTTATAGCAGAAAAGCCTTCCTTCACAGTGCAAAGAGTTCAATAGCGTAAAGCGCCAGTGGTAAGTACATGACTCAGTCATAACACTGTGGTTGTTTAACAATTCGGAAACTTCAGCAACGTGTATAAGGAGGAGGACACACATTCTATGCGTAATATGGCTGCTTTTGTACAACGGATAAAAAGCGTCGTCACTTTCGTATTTAGTGCGGGTCTAATCAACAGTTATTAGTCACAGGCCAGATTGGTAACTTGAACCACTAAACCTCAACAGGCAGTGCTACCTACTGTATTTGTAAGAGGACATAAACATATTATGATTCATAGGCAGCTATATTTTTAATACAGGGTCGTATGTGTGTCTAGAGCTCACGCGAAATATTGCTAAAACCTATTTTATGGTGTTTTTTTTTTTAAATGACAACCATCAGGTGTGATCACTGTGTTTTGGATTACTTTAAAAACATGCCAAAAACGAATACAAGGGACAAATGGATTTGGGACCACTGTTGTCTCAATGAGATCACTGAGATGTTTTTGTAATGTAGGATTGGCTGATAGAGTTAGGTGAGGTGTAGGTTGAAAGAAGATGTAGTGACCAGCAGCGTTAGAAATTCGACGCTATTATATCGCCGCGACAACGTCGAATTTCAAACTAAGTTAGTTTACTGTACCAAAGGCTGTTTCCTAAGAGAATAGCACTGCCGAAATGAGAAAGGGTGCTACAACTAATATAGTTTATAAGGTATTACAGATACCTTATAAACTATATTAGTTGTAGCACCCTAGTGCTCGCTACAAAATGGATAAAACCATAAAATCTAGAACGAATAATAAATAATATAAAGTTAAGTGCAATCATTCTATGCAACACTAATAAAACACATGTGTATTTGTGTATGTGGTACCTACTGTGGTATAGGTTATTAATTTTATAATGATTATTAACTGTTTTAATGACTGAAGTGGTCGCAAATTATTGTTTTACCGACTTAAGGACTACTACTAGGTTAAAAAATAATTAAACAGACAATATTTAAGTGATGTCGTTCACCTGAAGGTTAAATATAAATTATACAGTATAATAAACTAGCATGGAGTAGGAGTATAATTATTTATTATACTCCTTTAGGTTAAACGCCTGTACCTACAGGTGTTCATGTAATATTTTGGGAAAGTCTATTAGTAAAGTGAACATGTTGAGTGATGCCTTTTGTGCCGACTTTCCTACTTTGTCGACTTTACTAAAATATCATACATCTATTACCATTATGCCGAATTTTCATGGTTCATTAAACTTGGTGCTTTTATGCCGACTTTCATCACGTACCTAACCCAGATTTTACGTAGATTTTTGCGAAAATTTGTAAGTACCAAAATTTATCTTAATTTTCAACTTTTTTTTTGAAATTATTCCTTTATTTGTGCTATAAGACATTTTTTTTGCCAAATTTCGTGATTCTAGGTCAACGGGAACTACCATATAGGTTTTAGACCCAAAATCTATAGGGTACTTCTGGTTGACCTGGAATTGACTATTTTGGTTAAAAGCAAGGTCTTACAGAACGAGTAAAGAGAAAATTCTGAAAAATAAAATTAGGTACTTACAAGTTTTCGCGAAAGTCGAAATTTGCCCATATCTTTTTATCGTGACTGAGGTTTTGACCTTGATTTTTATACACCTTATAGGGACCTAAATAAACCTCAGTATCTGGTATAAATTTCAACTTGCTAGGTCTACCCGCTCCTGAGAAAATCGGTGGTGACACACGGACAGACGGACAAGAAAGTGATCTTATAAGGGTTCATTTTTTACCTTTTGAGGTACGGAACCCTAAAAAGAAGTTTTTCCAAAGAAATAGTGAATTAATTAACAAAATCTATTAACAGGTCAGCGAAACCCCGGACGAAAACTAGTACATGAACAAAATTACTTTAAGGCCCTAGGTAGATGTTAGGTATAAAAACCATATCTACATACTACCACACCATCTTACGAAGACAATGTGTGTCAATTAATTAAATTATAGTTAGGTAAATCTTACCTTTCTTCATCATACCAGCTTTGAAGCATTTCCTTAGCCTACAATATCGGCATTGGTTTCTTTTGTCTTTATCCACTACACAATTTCTGCTGAATCTGAAACCAAACAAATTGATGATTTACTAAAATTTCTAAAAACAAGTTTTTTTTTGTCAAAGAGCATGAACGTCTGCAAAATTACTGTTATAATACGAGTAATATTAATTTTTATAATTCATTAGTCAGATATTCTAAAAATAAAATACATAAATAGGAACTACTAAAAGTTGTAAAAGAGTACTCATTTTAATTCACAGAGACTCATGGGGGGTCTGAAGTAGGATAATAAATGGACGACGCTATAAAAAATAGGCGCCAAAAACTTTGACGTTTGTAACTATAAATCATTCTACTCTTTAAAAACATTGAATTGAATCTTCGTACGCTAAATCTATTCATTCGTGTAATAGCCTTACTGTTTTCATTCGTTTTTAGAAATAGAAACGTTAGACGGTTGTCTTAGTGTTAAAACATAATATATGCTATTCTGAATTTAAATTTTAAACATGTATTTGAAATAAAAGTTCCATTCGATTTGTCGACCTCGAGCGTATGAGCGACACTTCATAAATTCTCGATAACAAGAAAGTTCATTGGTATTTTGTAATATAATTTTATTGTATTGACACAACAGTAAAAGGAAAAGAGACAGGAAGAAATCGATAACGTGTGATAACGTCCTCAGACAAAATAATAAGAGCATATTTTGAGATAATTCTATAATAACTGTTTGTAAAGAGCCAGTCTATCAGCTATTGGGGATATTAGTTTAATTGATTTCCTTTATATAATATACAAATTATTGTTCTGAGTATTCTGATGTTCTTTTTATCCGTTACACGAATGTTTGTAAAGTTCTCCGCAAGGTAGGATACATTCCTAGTGCGTATAATGTAAAAAGAAATTGAATTTTGATTATGGTTTATGCATCAAGATTTTAAATATTTTTTAGCGTGTATGGAAACAAACAAATGTGTGGAAAAACATGGACGCTTACACAAAGGATCTACCAGGGATTTCCTTTCTTCCAAGGGATTTTCTTTCTAGGGTACACCTGGTTCCCCAGCTACTGGTACCCCCCGAGACGGCGTGCGGTTTTTGGTCGGTTCGAGTCCGACATAATCACCCCGGTGGGTGATATCCGAGGGGATTTCCGCACAGGAAAAAAAAAACAAAAGGGAGAAATCGATTTGAAATGTGAGAATGATTTGGATCGTGTTATCTTCGTTATTATTATGCCTAGTAAAGCTATAAAAAAAGGATAACAATAAAAAGGGATATTGTTGGATAATCTCTTGCAAGATGATAATTTGAAATTTAATCAACATTAAACGGGGAAAATAGACAACGGGTACAATTAGACAAAGATTTCTTTCAAGCCGTTAAGTATAGCAGAGAAGATAAATAGCATTTTTTTACCAACAAGAGCGTAGCTGATAAAAAATAAGTCATATAATCGGCTTAGCTTGATTTAAATCGGACAGATAACAAAAAAATTGTTACCATTTAAACGTCACATTTAACAGAGAAACTTTCCAATGAGTAAGATAATCAGAGTATAATGGCTGTGATGATAACTGTAACATACTAAGTACCTATTATCACTAAAATGACCTTGTATCATATACTTATCAGCATTGCATACCAGGTTAGGTAATATATGTACTGTCAAATAAAGCAATATTTTCAGGTGACAATAATTTACTAAACGATATCTTTTATATTAAAAATGGATAAATACCTCTACCTACTTTTAATTGTTATTGTACTAAAATTTCTTTAGGTTAAAAAAAAAAATCTCAGTAGCTAACCCAAACAACTTCGAATGTGTCTCTAATTTTCTCTAATTTTCCCCATTTTTGCAATATTTTTCATTGATGCTCGGCTCCTATTGTTCGTAGCGTAATGTTATATAGCCTAGCCTTCCTCAAAAATTGGCTATTCAACACTATAAGATTTTTTCATTGCGAACCAAAAGTTCCTGAAATAAGCGCGTTCAACAAAACAATCAAACTCTTCAGCTTTATAATATTAGTAGATAAGAACTTGCTGCCCATTTACATAATACTTAATATGAATAGTAAATTGGCAACACCTTTAGCGTGTCAGAAAGTTTAACTTTTTACTATCATATTTTACAATTTATTTCTCATATACGAGTACTTGTTCGTCGTTCTTGATCCATACTTAGTTCGTTTTACATTTATGTATTAGGTTCATTTTTATTACTTAATTGTCAGCTATTCTTTTATTATGCAACTGTTTGTGCGTTTCTCACTTTTGGTCTATTAATATTTTACTAATCTATCGTTTTGAAAATTTATCAAGTTACTCAGTAGAGAACTTGACATAACTATTTTGTTTGTATCAGCCTTCACCTATTTGGGGAATGGAAAATTAATCTTATTTTTTATACACTTTGACGTTACAAAACGATGCCACAAAAACATGTTATGTTAGAACAAGTTTCTCAGTCATGGTAAACCGCATTCGAACTTACGCACCATCATACGTACCTATAAATTATAGAGAATTATGACGTAATATGGATACAAATATACCTACAAGAAACTTCTACAGACGAAGAAACTTCTTCACTTCTACAGACGACTAATTGGCTGATTCCCAGGTTGTCATAAAGTGGAACCAAACGTTAGGGTTTTTAAGAGAATGTTCTCGGCTTGAGATGGTGTCCACGCCGAAATATATACATATATAAAAGGTTACGCAGAAGTGTATTAAACATACACAAAACTTCCCTTTTCACAATAGTTGTGTTAATTCCAAATTAAGGAACTAATACTACGTACACTACATGACATAGATAAGTGACATCGATATTGCTTGCCAATTTCTGGTTTTATATGACCTGAAAATAAGGCTACCGTCGCTCATGAACAAAAACTCACCTCACTTATTTATACTCGTATATTTGGTACTACTAAAAACAGTAGAAACTAGATTTGACGTCATTTTATATCTAATATAATTTATTTTTAACTTTTTTTAAACTCGTCTCTTTTTATTTAATTTGCATAATTTAAAATAGAATATACAATAGGGAAATTCCAATGGGAATCTCTTCTTTTTCTACTTTGCAATAAGGCTTAACGTAAACAGAAAATGTAATAAATGTGCAAGCAAATTATTATCTCGTTTTATTGTAACTTGCACTTGGCGATACTTGTGTGGAGGTCCTACCAACAAATACTGAAGACTTGCCAGAATTATATCATTCATCAGTTTCACAACACACAATTGTGCTCACGAGTCCAAATATATAAAGACGACCGCTAAGAGAATTGATTGTATTAAATTGCATTTTTTGCTTTTGCAAGTTTAATAAGCAACCTAAGTTAAGTTTTTTTTTAAATAAAAGTTTGTGTTTTTGCTGTCATATTATTGTATAAAAACTGCTAAAAGGATTTAATACATGTCAAACTCTGACGTTAAACTTGTGCCAATGACGCATACAGTAACATTTTTTTGCACAAACAGGAAACTTCAAATTGTAATGACTGATTAGGTGTTAAACTCAAAAGGTATTTCAAAATTACAATAAACGTAGTCAGTGTAATTACCTGATTAATTTTATTTACCTTGTATGTCGTAAATGCTATGAACCCATGTAATGCTACAGTTACACACTCCTCATCTGGCAGGGTACTGTATGGTTTTAACCGATTTACTCCGAAACAATGACCGCGCCATGCCCTAGTTCCGCGAAAAAAGGCAATTAACATCCTCACATTTTGAAATTAATTTTCCAATTAGTATGCATATTATAAATATTTTAGCAGGCAGTGGTTGGATTGTGTGCTGTTTCTTTCTGTGTCCACAGTGTAAATGTCTATGTATCTATCTAGATATTTATATATATATAGGTTTAGGTATGTAGTGAACCGTGTATACTTTCACTGATTACATAATATGTAACCTCTGCTTACAAGATTTCTACACCACTCAAAAGTCGACTGAAAGAGAATACCCTTTTATTTTTCCGTGCGGAAATCCCCTCGGATACCACCATGTGGCATGTGGCATGTCGGACTCGAACCGACTAAAACCGCACGCTGTCTCGGGTACTAATAGCCGGGGAACCAGGTATACCCTAAAAAGGAAGTCCCTGGTGCCCCGACATACCTCGGGCCATCTACAACAACAGGTAGACGACCCTCCCGTGTGGGAACCCCATGTTCCCTCTGCTCCCTGGAAGCGAGCGCGCTTCGCAACGCGCTCGCCGCCACCCCGGCCTGCTTCTGCTAGGGTGACAGATGACCTCACTTGCCACCCCCAGGCCTGCGCTTTTGGAGGACGGAGGTCGTTCTGCGACCTCCGGCGCTTGAGTCGCTTGCGGTACCTGGCCCGTTCCCGGGCCTGGGCGGGCCGGGAGAGTCCTAAACCTCTCCCGGTCCCGTTCCGCCGTCTCCTTCTCGAGCATAACTTGCTCGCTTGAAGAACAATAGCGCATAAAGTTAAATAAATAAATGAGTCAAAAGTAACTTCTTTTTTTCTAAACTATATTTAAAATGCTTCAAAGATTGTGTTTATATATTTTTCGCGTCAGTTTTGTTGCTCATTATCATCAATGCAACTTATTTTTTTCTATTGCATACCTGCATGTGTATTGGTGATTCTTTCTAACGCTTCTTCTGAAGAATCCCTTACAGCCGTCACAGGATGACGCTCCGTAATGCTTGCCGGTGGCCCTGTCGCCGCAAATGGCGCAATGCTGTGACAACGCCACGGAGCTCGCCGCTGACGCCTCGCTGCTACTCGTCTCCAATTGCATGTCACTATCTGCAACAAGAGACCAGGAGTTGTAGTTAACTGTTTCATGACTCCTACGTTTAAGTAGTACGTAAGATTCGAATCGATTAAAACCACCCGGTGTTCCGTCACAAATGATTCTATTTGCAGCGGACCCGCGCTTCTCTAACAAGGAAGCCACCGAATATCCTACAGAGTTAGGCTGATAAGGAGACGACCGCATTGTGGAGTACGGAAGCCTAAACCCGTCCAGGTCAGAGAAGCAGGATTACAAGTCGTGCCACCGTCTCTATTACTGAGGTTGCACTAGTTTCAGTTACAATGTACTTTACACAGATGGCAAACGAATTACACACCTCCTGACCGATTCCCATAGAGAGAATATGTATGTTTCAAAATGAATATATTACACAGACGTGCTCCGGTTGTACATTACTTACCCGTATTCTACTTTTACATTCTCCCTCGTTCACGTCAAAATTATAGTCTGATAATATCTACCAATAATAATTTTTGTAGGACTTGTATGATGTTCTTAAACATAATTAATATACTATGTACTTCTCGTAAGGTCAAGTATTTTTATTTTTAACTGAAGGCCATATAGGTACGTAACTGTCAGATTATACAAACATTACTTACTTACACATTTGTTACCTAATTGGTGCAAATGTGTTACAGTCTGCACTGTAGAAAACGCATTGTAAACTACAACAAACCTATATTTGGCCTGCGTTAGTGATTGTTTTTTTTTGTGTGACTGACCTATATTTAAAACAATAACATGTTGATGAATGGTAAGGTAGGTCGTTGCCATTACGTATGTTAAAATTGTGTCTAGCTTTTCCGTTAGATGAGGAGAATTCTCTTTCTCAGTTCATACATACCTACTATGATGTAAGCCTTAAATTAAATGATTAGCAAGTGTGAAACCTTCTATGTTAATGTAAATTGGTGTTCGTTTTATCTGTATTTAAATAACACTAAATAAGCACTCATGTAATACAGCGTCATCGTTATGAGTTTTTACGATGTAAAATGTTTGGGAATACTAAATTGGTTATGAAGACGGACTAAGAGTAGTTTAGTTCTATTGCCAGTACATATTTTCAAGCAAACGGACAAATAAACAAAATACGCAAGCTAATAATAGCCAATTTTGAATAGCTACCACGAAATATGTCGACGATGAAACGCCATTTAGAGCTAAACCTTATTCTCCTAATGATAATCAAGTTGGCAAGATCGTTACTAAAGAGTTCTTGCTGTTATGACTTGAGCACATGGATTTCTGTGTCAGACCTTGACTCCTGCCTCCTAACTCAGCTTAAATTCTTTTATTCGTTTATAACCTGCAAAACTGACCAGACTGCTAATTACAATATCATTACGGATTACGGAGACTCTAGAATGACACTAATAGAAATCCCTTGGTTGGCTTGCTTAAGAAACAGTTGGCTATAGGTGCGACGCACAGGCCACTGAGCAAATCATAAATAAAAGCATAGAAAACAACTGATGTACTGATGAAATTTCAGGGGATTACTAACAGAATACCGGGTCAAGCAGGATAGCCGATAGCTGGTTCGTGAGGGTTACTCTCCACAATCGTCGTCATCCAGTAACTTATCCGATAAAATCAAACGATTGTAAAAACAGTAGTTGATAGAAATATAAATTTAAGTAAACATATTGTAACAAATTACAAGGATTAAATTAATTAGATTTAGGTATACATTCTACACTCATACCTAAACAATTTTACAAAACGAGTAGTTTCAGTGCACTGTCATCATTAAAAACAATTGTAAATATATGATTGAGTCGTAATTAAAGAGCTAAAGCAACAATTTAAAAAAAGTTGCATTACAAATAGTGCATACTTGTCACTCACGTGTTAATAACAAACATATAAAAACGATGAATGAATTCAAATATAGAAAACCAACGTTAATTGAAAAAAGTGAATGTGTTTTGCAAATTTTAAAATTACATAACCGTGTTACAGTTTTAGAACTGACATAGTACGAAAAGCTATAAATTGACAGTACTAGTAATACTGCCCTATAAAACAAAGGAGAAAATAAAAAATAAACTGTAGAAATTCGACCACCAGGCGATCTCTTGTATAATGATATGAATGGGTAACAAACCTTCAGCGTTGTATGGTACACTAGTAATGTTTATCCGAGTATCCTGCGGGCTGCGCAACACTGACCCGTAGTTATAAGGGCTCTCAGGGTGCTTCTCCCACACATGAGGTGGCACCATATATTCTGGTGCCGTATACATGGGACAAAACTCCTGTGAGGTCATATCGTAGCCCAGCACAGGCATCTTCCACCCGCCACTAAACGTCCTCCACGGCCAACTGTTATCCACTAATTGTAAGTAGAGCGCCCGTCAATATTGCTAAGCAGGTGATTTACCCACTAAATATTGTCACTCAATCCTTATCACTAAAACTACGACACAAATTATTTGTTGATCACAATAAATATTTATCCGGTAACGAGTGTAACAGTACGTTTCCGGGTAATGTTTTTGTTTTTATCAACAGCAATTGTCTAAGTGGGTTGTCGATAGCGTTGTTGACAAAGCGTCACGCCGGCGTCGAATGTCGAACACGTATATAAGGGGCGACCTTCCGCGTATGCGGTGCCGCTGCGACTGATGGTCGCACTGCACTGACCACCAACCACCTATACTCCGCTGAGCAGAGTCGATCTGCTGACAACACCTATGAATGACCCGCTCGCTGTCAAAGTCAGCACATGGAAGCGGTGTGACGGCGTTCATACGACACCCACCACTGACTCACTCGTTGCGCGCCGGATGTGGAATCGAATGCGCCGATGCAACTGGGACGAGTCACCGGGTACCAGCTGACGAACAGAAAGAGGCTTTTTGCATTAACCGTCATGTCGTTTAAGTAAACAAACTATGACTAATTTGATAGTCGCGTATGCATTCTTTGTCTTCATATTCCTTTGTTGCTAACTGATCACGCTTATTGTGTTAATACCAAATTTGTACTCTTATCTACCAGGGTTCAGATAATGAGAAAGATGATTTATCAGCTTATAGATAACTGCTAATGAGGATATAACAGAGTTTTGAATGATGTAAATATTTCAGCGCTTTTACTTACACATGCCAATACTACGTTTTTAATTTATATCAAAGTTTTTTTGTAGAGCATCTTTATTATATAGAAACTGATATAGCGCAAGAAACCCGTTCTAATGTATTTGTACAAAAGACAAAGGACACTTACGAAGAGAACCGTAGACGATTTTTAACAGAGATCATCAGAGGGGAAAGACCATGATAAATCACTTACTATAATTTCGTGTAGCGTTCCATAGTAAAATGTAAGGAATTTAAAATTACCAAGAAGGTAATGTAATGTTTATTTTTTAAGAAATATTAAAAATAAGTCACTCCCTAGTCTACTATTGACTAATAATAATTCAAATTCAAATTCAAATTCAAACTTTCTTTATTTCATAAAATTTCCAAAATTGTTTGAAATCGTCTTCCATGTAGACTCTAAAGTCATAGATCAACACACACAAAAGCAACAATCTCTGTTTTGTCAAATAGTAACCAAATAAATTTAACAAAAATCAAACCCATACAAAATCTATGATATGCCTGTGCCGATCTACAACCGCCCGTTTCCAAGGGGTTGAGCCTTATGAGAAGAAAGGGCAAACAAACTCATGGCCACTCTTTTGCAATTCACAAGTAGATACAATGGCACTATTAAATATATCACAACATTGTTTTGATGTGTGCTAGTATGTCCGTTATTAAGGACTTAAAGGTGAAAAAACAACGAAGAGAAAACAAGATTAAGAAGAAAAAACGAATACAAGAGAAAATGAAGTGAAACATAAAAAATAGAAAAAATAATAATAATAAAAAACATACTAGCCACACCACATTTTTACTCAAGAAAGAAATTTGAATAACTTTAAAACATGTATATTAAAATTGTATCTTATTTAAATTTTATACTTAGTACTACTAAAACTTACTATTATTGATGTAGAACAAATATTTTTTTGCTTTTGCAGGTTTTGCAAAATATTTTGATATTTTAGATACGTATATATAGTCGCGGTGCCCGAGACATGAAAATTAGTGAAAGTGGTAGTCGATGAAATCAAGCCGAAATTTGGCTTAAAATTAAAGCAAATGTTGTAGCGATTTTGCACGTTTTTAACGAGAAATAAATACAATAATATGCATTTATTGCGCATGATAATAAATATTTTATAAAAATTAAACATGAAATCCAAGGATCCGCAAAGATAGAAACATTTTTAGGGATTTGAAACCAAATATTTGTTTTTGGCTTTGCTTACGGCGGCGAAGTTCGCCTGTCTAGGGACACGGTATCGAATAGAAAGTATCGATACTGTTCTCATGAATAGTATCGAAAAAAAGTATCGTACTCATTAAAGTATCGACACCTCAAAATATCGAGTATTTTTTTAGCTCCAGTAGAAAGAAAAACAAATGGTATTGGTACTTATTTAATACAATAAAAACCAAAGACAACCGTAACTACACAAAGTAAAAATTTATTTAAAAAAAATATTTATTAATTTACGCACATATTCTCATTCCTCCTCCGTATAAACGCTTATAAATAGAAGTTTGTCGGATTTTTGTAATGGTACTTCCTGCTTTAGAAAATTATCTTTCTGAGGGCACTGACGTAGCAGGAACTGATAAATATTCTCTTGCTAATTTATATAATTTTGGGAAACCAACTTTCATAACTTCCTATTGTTTCAAAGGATCTAAGGAAAGTGGTGAAAGCAGATAAGTAATAGCTTATTTCATCCTTATTTTCAGACTGTAATGAAGATGAAGAACTTTTTTGTTTTGTTTTATCGTATGAGCCAACTTCTTATGGTGACTCGTAGGTAGGTAGAAATCGTATGTTGTTTCGAGAAAAGCAGAAGAATCGCTGTCAGGTTCACTGCCGATAATGCTAGGAGTGGTAGTAATAAACCGTCTCAGTAAAGAAATTGCCTTTGCATAAGCTCTGACATCCTGAAACTGAATATGAAGTGAATGAAAGAAAGACGAGGAACTGAACGTCTGTCAACAGAAGGAACGATTTCGAGCTCAATGTTATGTTTTTAAGTTTCAATATGATTTAACTAGATGACGTTGCCATAAACATGTGTAAAATAGGTAATTTCTACAATTTATTCGATACGATACCTGTCAAAAAGTAGTCATTGAGTAAAAGTATCGATACTTATTTCGCCCTGCTGAGCTGGCTGAGCCTTGATTGAGGTTGAACGCAAATCATTTTGCTTCATGAAATTTCCCCGCAACGAAACGAAAGCAAACGAAGCAAACGAAAATTGTTTATTGAAAAATGGTAAGTAATGTCTTCACGTTATGTACGTTTAATATTAGTCATTTGTATTACATTACATTTTTATATTACTCTTATTTTAAGTTGTTTATAAAAAATAAAAACAATAAAGTTCTAATTTACAAACTTTCCCCTTTATCTTCAATAATTGCATGATGCATTTATTTCACAAACTATAGTAAACTAAAATTTGTAATCACAGCAAAATATGGACATATAAAACCCCTTGAAAAGTAGGGTTGTTGCAGTAGCAAACGCTAATGCGTTGGTCTGGGCCGGCGAGGTACCCGATATACCTCATATGACCCCGGGATTACTATTCTTGGGGAAAGTGTTTCAATAATATCAGAAACCGTGTCCTTTAAATTCCTTGGAAGGAAAATAGACTACAAAGATCGTACCCCGCAATAGTCGATGACTTCGTAGAAGACATTGTCAAGGTAGACTTACCTCCGATTGGTAACGTAAAAAAAGCTTGGATTTACGACAACTACTTAACATCACGTCTCAACTGGGCTTTTCTGGTATACGATATAAACAGCAACTACTTAAGAACACTTTACGCGAAAGTTACTAAGACATTGAAATCGTGGCTCGGGCTAGCACCATCGACAGACCCGTCAATATTGTACAGGGACTCGAATAACTTAGGAATTAAATTTAAAAAGACCTTCGGAACTCTAAAAAAACCAAGAGTTACCAAAATGCGTGTTTTTTCAACATCACAAGACGAAATCGTTAAATCCCTTCCAAAAGACAAAAAATTATCAAAGCTGGAGTCCAACTCGCATTCCACAAGAAATTTGTGGTGGGTACGCAGTCCAGTAGAGTTGGATTGGAAAATGCTAGAAGACAGACAGGCAAAGAGACAACCAAATCTTTGCTATGACAAGATGAAAACGAGACATACAAGGTGCACGCAATGAACCTAGATATAACCTAATTATGTATAACCTGATTTTGTATCCCACCAGCTTTGAAGTGGCGCACACTTTTAAACGATTGGTGACCTGTCGTATTAAAATTTACGCCTTTTTAATTTCAACGCCTTTCAATTAACTCTCCCCGATCAAAACAACCTAGTAATCAGGGGAAAAGCTCTAGAAAAGGATTGTACGATGTGCAGTGCGGTAATACGTAAAGCCTGGCACTTAATAACAGGTTGTAAGGCGTTATGAGACCGGGGTCATTATTCACGTCGCCATGATGGGGTTTTACAAATCATACATAAAGCTATAAGTTCATCACTGGCGAGAGTGAAAAAAGGAATAACAACAAACAAGAACTAAAATCGAGTTTGTAAACGAGGGATTAACTAAAAAGACTCAACAACTCAAGACTCAAGACAAAAGCTGTACTCAATTATGAAAACCGCCAGAGACTGGACATTATTAGAGGACATGTACGAAAATCATTACCGAATACCGGAGGATATCTGTGCCTTGTCATCCAGGCCAGACATAGTTCTTTATGCAATGTCAATTAAGCGTGTAGTACTATTAGAACTCACGGTACCGCGGGAAACGAACATCCTTAAAGACCACGCTTTAAAAAGAAACAAGTACTCTGACTTATCAACGAAATAACTAAAAATGATTATGTCGTTGCGTTGTATGCCGTGGAAATGGGTGCGATGGGTATCAGCTAAATCCCGCTATACCTCATGATGATACTTCATGAATCATCATCATTAACAGCCTTTACTTGTCAATTGCTGGACATAGGCCTATCCTCAGAAAAGAGGTTTTGGCCTACTGTACCACTCTGTCCAGACGGGTTAGTATAGGGTTTGTTTCAAGGTATCCTTCTCATTGCAGTGCTTTTGTTTGTCCCCTTAGTCGGCTCTTATGACACCCACGGGATGAAAGGGGTGGTGACACTCCGTATTCTTAATCCGTCACCACACGGACAATAACCCACTAAAATATCTTGG